AAAATCAAAATTGTAAGAAGTATACATATAACAAAATACAACACTAGCTATTAAGCCGTAAGCGATATAACTTCATAACTGTATTTCGATCATGTTTTTACTCGATAAAAATAAAGCGGGAATAGTTATCGAATCTTTGAAACAAACTTGATATGTGCGTGATATACTCGGACCGATTTCAAGTCTTCTCTCGCCTCTGCCTGTTACATACATTTTCACAAAATCATTATACCCTGATTTTCCATTTTTAATGGGATCATGGTATAAAAAATTATTCTGCTATAGAATTGGATTTGTGGACTTGTTTGCTATATTATATAAATATTCATATTTATTTATTTATTTTATATGCATATTTTTTCCAAAACCTAAAAACAGTTGAACAGCTAAAGAACAGAGGAAATTGAAAAAATAAAAATCTTTCACAATGATTTTCATTGATTTATTCCACAGGGTAGAATTGTATAGATCTATTTTCTAGCTTAAATGCCATATTATTCCCTTACTTATCTGTGTTTAAATAAGGCAGGATAAATATTAATTACGAATAGTTGTCACTTTTTGAACCCAATTAATTATTAACTTATTATTAATTAATTAATTAACTTATGACCAACTGCATTCTCTGAGAAGTCACACACTCCGATGTAACATGCCTAAAGCAATTGCGTTCATTGCACTAGCTTTGACGCAGCACAGCTTTTGAAAATTCAGAAACTGTATCAATGTAAGGAATTCTCATCTGCTTCAACAGCTATTCATGAGCCAATGGTATTTTCTATCAGGTCCACGTGACAGCTTCAGCTAACACTTGCCACGAAAGTGAAAAAGCCAAATGAAAACACGTGACGCGATGCCAGCAATTGGTAAGCAACAAAGCTTCAGCTCTGAATTATGACCAACTGGGTCGCATACCAAGCAGCAGTAGCTCAAGCAGGAGCAGGGGCAACAGCATGGCCAGATGAAGGAGCAGAATCAACAGGAGTTGCTGCAGGTCCAGCCATGCCAGTAGGGTCCAATAGCCACGTTTACATTTCAATTTTGGGTTTTCTGCGCGTTTTTTTCTTACTGAGATTTTGCACTAAGATAAAATCATAAATCAACGCTGAATCAGGTAAATAAAAATAAAGCTCAGAGTGCGTATGCAAATTGAACAGAAACTGAGCGACTGTGAATCTTTGGTTGAGATTCGCTGGCGCAAAAATATGATAAAACTTAAGACAGTCAAAAAGTTTTTGACTTTTCAAAAACTTTTTTTCGCATAATATTGTTGGAACCAACTTTGCTTTTAAGTAAGCAGCCGACTTTGTGTTTCCATGGTATGACTAAGTATATGTGTATGTGTCCTTGTGTGTTCATGTGTATGTGTTTGTATGTGCTTGTTAAGCACATGGAAATATCCAAGCAATTACTGTGTCGTTAATTAGCCTGAGCGCTAAACAGCATGGCTAATGTAAAAGCCAGGGCCAAAACACGTTGCAGTCATGGCACAGGGTCAATAACTAGCACTGCGCACTGTGCAACACAATATGCTCACAATATTTTTTTCAATTTTGTTTTGCTTTCAATAAGCTATTTATTGTTCTATTCATTATCTATTGTTTAATTTTCCTCTGGTTTGTGCTAAAATTATTTTATTTATATTATTTTTTAGTAGCATTTGCTAATTAGTTAGAAGTTAATATTCTACGGTATACGCATATTCATTTCATTTTTGAAAATTAAATCAGAAAAGGCACCCACAAACAATTTCCCATTGTTATCAATTTGATTATTTAAAGAATTAAGATTAAATATATTATACAAACTCAAAATTACTAAATGAAAATATTGTTCATTTAAACTCACTCAACTTGCCTTTGTAGCTCAGTGCCTCATCTACACATGAACACAGGCACCCGTAGAGAAATTAAAAACAGCTCGTTCGGCGCTTTATTAGCTTAAAATTCCTCATCGGACAATCGCTTTGATCAAAACCTTCAACAGATCTCAATTCGAAAGTTCAGCAGTGTTGGTTACGGATTGAATTCGGTTTTGGGTATCGATTACGGTTTCCTTTTTGGTATCATTTGGTTAATCCTTCTCTGGGGCATGAAATCATTAGATACCCAAAATGTGCACAATCTCTGTCAGTTTCCTGAGGCATTAGTGGAGTGCGAGATAAAACTAGTTGCTGTGTTCATGTGAAGTTCATTGGACTGAATGTTGCTTTAATGTCTGTCCAGTTACAGTTGCATTGCATATTGCAGGCATTGGCTTTCATAGACACACATGAATAACGACTGCAGCTAGACTAGATAAGAAATTCTGTGCACAGTAATTAGCAAATATACTTCCTTATTTGGGAGTTTGCTCGGATTCAAGGGCAGCAGAAATTCCAAACAGAAGTGTTTATTGAAGCCGCAATGGCATACTCGCATTCATCATCAGAACACCACAAACTGCAGTTCTAGCAAGCAACTCTTGGTGGTAGTTGACCATATGTGCGAAAGGTAGATGACAAGCAAGCAGACCTCATTAGTTCATCATTCTGGGCAAGGTACAGCAGTTGAACACGCATTATTACACCACTTATTTTCCATTATGGAAAAATGCTTTCAAATATGCTGGACCTGAGTACCAGCACTGAGAAGTTCCCAACTACTTTAAACTGCTCGATATATTAAGATTTATGATATATCCTAGTCGAACACTTTCAATCGAAGAGCTCTGTTCTTGTACTAAAAATAAATAATTAGATGTCGTCTCGAACTTCATGAACACGAGCATATTCAACGATATTGCTGGCAATATTTAACTATTGGTTTATTCAGCAATAATAGCATATGTATGTGCATTAGCTGTGAATAACACTCAGCTCATTTGTATACTCATTCCAAGAAATAATTTAAATTAGAATTCACCTTGGGACTAAGCTAAGCTGAAACTGGAACATGACTACATTTAGATAGTTGAAAGTGATTCAAATTAAATCAACGGTACTTCAAGTAAATATGATATGTTTCACTACGTCAATATCACACCTGGGTCACAGGACATTTTCGAGCTCCTGGCACTTGCAATTAAGCACATTGACACACATGTGCATACTTAATGCTTGCGGCTAATTATGTATGTACGTCTAGGTGTGTTTATATAACGCTTGACAGCGCTCCAGAGTTATTAAGCGTATATGCAAACAAGGCGCGAGCATCCTTCAAGTTGTCTCAAAGCCATGTGGTTTGAAGACGCAAACGGAAGTAGCAGAACAAACATACATACTTATAAAGTACGACAAATATACAAAAACACACACGCATATCTACATACAAACGCAAGTCAATAAATTCTCATTTCGCGTGCTGCGTAAAGCATTTCACCTGTAAATAAACCGTGCCTTTTGGCGCAAAGGCAAGCAACGCAATAATAAATACAAATAAAATCATGACAGATAAAAATTACAGCCACAATGTTCCGTATGGGTAGCCCAGCATTTCCAAACAATCTATATTAAGTATACGCACAGTTTGATCCATGCATTTTAATGATGCTGCTAGAGCCTCGGGCACTTCACCAGACTTCCCGCTACCGCCATAGTTACCAACCTGGTTTCCTGTCTGCCCGCATCGATGACAAAACCTTCATTTATTTCAATTAGTATTGAACTCGGCTGTCGTTGCGCCCGCCGGCTAGAATTGATCAAGGCGGAGCTCATTGCCTAGAGCTAGTGTCAACAGCAAACAACTGACTGTGGATTATTGAGAGCTGAGCAACGTATCTAATTCTGTAGATTGCATCATACTTGGCACTCAAAGTGAGCTAAAATAAAGAAATCGATTGCTATTTTAAATTGCAACAACTTTAAATTAGTTTACTTAAGCGCTCGCTAACAAATACTATATGAAGTGCAAAATATATATGCATGTTTATATATATAGATATATTTCCTTTTCTGTGGCGTATCTTAGCAAAGGCAGTTAACTTTGATTGAATGCAAACAGACTGCGTTGCCATCACCCCAAGCACTGCCATCTGAATCAGAGCAGCTGACGCGGCGTCTTCAATTGGATTGAACAGCAGCTGTTAAAGGGCGAAGCCAAGGAAGAGGATGGATGGCCTGTGGTGCAATTGCAATTCTCAAAATGTACTCAACACTAAGCTTTATAAGGCTGTTGTTCAGAAGTTTCTAATGTCGATATGCAGTGGCCGCGCCCTCAGCAATTGCTTTGTAAATATTTATATTTCTATATTTCACTTAAATTATTATTAAGCCAATGGCGACCATGCAGCCCGATGGAGTCACTTGACCTGGGTGGCAGTGGGCCAACTGCAGCAAAAGCTGGGTCTGCGCTGCTTGCCTGGTAACGTCCCTGGCACGTTGCTAATGTGCATGGCCATTAAGTGAGAGCTGCGTGTTTTGTTTACGCAACGCGCACGCCTCGAAGGAAGTAAACACTTTTGCCCCCAGAACTGTTGCATGATGCAAGTGTAGCTGACAGGTGGTAAAAGGGCAAAGCGATGGGCAAATCATATGAAGCAGACTTGGTTGCCTTAGCTAACATCAACAATGGCAACAACTAGCCAAGGCAACGCTATAATATTAACAACAACAATCGAATTTGCCACATCAACAACAAGAATAACAATAACAACAACATCAATAGAAACGAACTTTAGTTAGGAGCTCTAAGCACAAGATCAAGACAGCGTCGGCTATATATACATATAAACATATACATATGTATATTACAGAAGAAAATGAAATATTTTCCACATAACGTTGCTATAAATTGAGAACGCGTTCAACATTTCAAAGCGTTTAGATTGGCTTGCAACATTTGGCAACGACCACGGCATCAGACGTTGTCCCAAGTTACACAAAAGGATTTGTAGACGCTAGCGCACCTGGATGAGTCAACACGGCACAGCACCGCAGACAACAAACAAGCGCAAAAACGAACTGCGCAACGATAAGTGAAATTGAAATTGATTGAAGAAACAACTACAAGAAAATAGAGGCAAGTGCCAGCAGCAGCAGGAAGAACTCAAGCAGCTATCCAGCGCTCACGGCAACATTTTAGCGTTTGATGTGCAAACCTCTGCAGGAACCAGTAAGCAAATAACCGCACACTCATACATACACACGTCAGCACATACGTGCGTTGAAGTAGACAAAGTTAACCAAATCAGCCAGAAGGTGCCCTATGGCTGGGGCTGCCTTGGGAACGCCGCTACAATCGATGTCTTATACAACAGGCTCCGTCAAAGCCTCGCTGCAGGAAAATGAAAGCTTTGCTGATGGCCCTATACATAATGAGGACCCTCGTATCGTTTGGTTGAAGACTATCATTGCCAACCAGCTGGGAGTGTTCAAGCCAGTTTACGTTAATACATTGATAGCCAAAAATAAGGATGCTGTGGATCAGTTTCTCAACAAGCGCTATGAGCGGCAGGCACATCTGGATCGTGTTATTATGTACGTGTGGAGAACATTCTACGACAGGCTCGTGGAGGAAGAGATCACTGTGCTGGAGGAAGTGCCAAGGCCTTCGTTACCGGATAAAAAAGATAAGAAAAAGAAGGGTAAAGGACGCAAAAAGGGCGGACAGGAGCCAGAACCCGTGGATGTCGAGCCAGCCGAAGGTACTGATCTAGAGACAGAGGCCGAGGGAGAGGCCGAAGGGGAGGAGGAAGCCGCTGCTATCAATAGCGCCAAGAGCTCAGCACGCTCCAGACGCACACGTAAGTATTCGTTGTCCTTAATGGACTCTGTTCTGGATCCACACCACCAAACTCAAACCGACATGCTAACTTCTTTATCTGCTCGCGTTTCATTCATGCAGTCAGCTCTGATATGGATAACGGTAAATATATCGCATCCTTGCTCAATTTTGCTTTATTCCAACGCCACTTTTAATTTGGAAACTTTTCTCAGCACCTTTTCCCTTGAGCACTCGAATGCAATGCATAAATTTAATACCCGTCCAACTTAATATCAAAATGAAATCTTTGTGCTGCCTTTGATTCAAGCTGCCCACAGCACACAGCACATCATAAATATTTAGGGGCTTAATTTCGGCTCGTCTTCCTAATATTCATTTCTTTTGCAACTTTTAATTTGAATTCGCGCCAAGCCCACCATTTTCGTCGTTGGAAAATGCAGCTCATTTGATTTGCTTTGCCCGGCACAAAGATAAGACCAAAGTTTCATTCCGTTCATTGCATTTAAATAGAACCGAAAAGTTCCGGAACAATGACAATGCAAATAACCCCGACAGCTTCTTCGCTTATTCACCACGTCAGTCTTTGCTCACAGTCCCATACATTTAACTATTCTGCAGTGCACTTGCCACGCCCATTCGCCATTCTAATGTACTTAATTTAATCTGCCCATTACAATAGGTCGCAAAACCAAGAAAAAAAGCTATGTTCCAGTCTACATTGAAGTTAAGGTGGGTACAAAATATCAATAAAAAACTAATTGAATTTAATAAGGCCACTTATTGATTATAAGTCCGTCTATTAGACTAGCGAATATTTAAATATTTGCTTTTATAAGGGCTTAAAATACTCTTATTTAGCTTATTTAGAAAATGTATTATAACTGTTCTAATTTATCCAAACGTTTTTTACAACCATTTACAGAAAATTGTTCCCGCTTATATAAAAACTCCAATTCTTCATTGTCACTTTGGCGAAATGGAATCTCACAACTTCGACCCCAAAACAAGATATGTCTATATAATGCGCAAGAATGCCAGAGAAATACGTAAGCTATGAACTATCTAATAATACCAAGAGTTTATTTCATTACAGTGATAATTATGATATGGACTGAAACGCATTTTACCGTTCGTATAGTCATTAATTTTATTTATTCTTCCAGCCTGGTTCAAAGAGATATCGCAGTGCTTTGCCGAAATGCCATTATTATTTCTATTGGGCTCCATTCGTGGCAACCTCATCGACGCACTGCGACACGAATTAAAGATGGTAAGCTCAACTAGTAAGCTGGTCATAAAATGCGCCACTTAATGCCACAACACAATCCGCAAACCAAATCACTCAAATTTGCGCCCTTTCGCTCATTTCACACCCCATAAACCGTTGTTCAATCAATCAATGGCTTTGAAGCAGCAACTAGGGCTTCCAGTGTGAACGGCTATGTGAGTTCCACTCGATGCCCTTTGTCTTTCTTTCGTCCATCTTCGTTGGTCCGTCCGCGCTTAACCGCAAAACAAAATGTGACGAATTGTAATTAATTCCTAAAACAAGGCAGTCATCTATCAAAATGGACGCTGTGGCGAAAGATTTTTGCGCTTCGGTGCACAACAGGCGGTTATCTGAGGGTGTGGGGGCCATAAGGATTCGGTAGCGGGCTCACGCCCACAATGCCTTGGGCGGGCGGCTCCAACTCAAATTGCTTCATCATAGCCTCAAAATGTGCTGCGGTTTCCATTAGGCTGGATGGCTGGCCAACCCAACCCCTAAACTTCACCCCTCCGCCCCTAAAACTTGGCAGCTTGCAAATTTTGCGGTCGGTGAGAGACCAGCAGCCCCAACTGCCATAATATTTGCTTTACGCATGAAAATAAATTGGGAATTTGTCGAAAATTGAAAATTGGTTTTGCCAAATCAACGCAGCAGATCAATTAGATTGCCTGCACAGAGCAGACTCTGCCTATTAGTACAACATATGAAATTCTCAATTTTTTTGCTTTTATTTTCATTCTATTGCAGGTTTACAATAGCGCCTTTCGTTTTCAATTTCGCGAACCGGACACCACGGATACCCAGCAAAAGGAGAGTAATGAAGCCCAGAGGGAGGGTGGAGGCGCTGGCGGTGGCAGCGTTGGTGATGCTGGCGCTGGCGAGAATGTTTCCAGTGAGCCCAAGGAATCGGGGCCGGGTCTATTGGAGCTTTCCAAACCATCGGAATTTCGTTTGAAAGCGCTTAAACAACAAAAGTATTTAACTTTTAACAAAGGCAACGCGGCAACGCATTCGCTTTTTTTGGGGCTTTGGGGCAGGGGTAATAGGAGGCCGTACCCTCCGCGCTTTATTGGTTTTGTGCTGACTGAAGTGCTTTCTCCGACGTGCTTTTTGTTTTTCTGGCTTTTTTGCTCACACTTTTTTCGTGCACATTTTTGTTTGCCCTTTGTTTTGCATTTATCACTGTTTACCATCGATGTGGCTACAGTTTCTTTTCTTTTTTATTTTGTGAATCCTGCATAACCCTTTTCGCACATAAATTACAGCGCATCCGATAAGAATTTTTATTTTTAATCGGATTTCATGCTACCATCAACGGCGCCAGCTTCAGCGTATACGCTGTTGTTGATGCTGTTGCCGTTACTTTCGCTTCTGTTGTCTTCTGCTCCCCTCGCCATTGGTATGGAAGTCAACATTTATGGCATATCCTGGCAGGAACCTCACTCGCCCGTGCATTGGGTTTTCATTGCTCTTATTGTGGCCCGTGCTCAAACTGCCACTTGACCAATGAGCGCTGTTCAGTCCGTCCTTTTTAGGCTGACACTCGTGCATTCAAAATCCTTTGGTCGCTTGGCAGCCAGCGCAATCGGAGAGGATTCCTTTACGTCCACTTTGTGCTCTTTGTTGTCCTTTGTTGGTATTTGCTGCTCATTTCGCTTATCAACGGCTTTTCATTGCGCTTTGTGTTAATTTTACATGTTGAGTGCCTTTAAGTGTACTAATTTATTTATTTATTTTTCTGTTATATGACAGAAAGCAAAAAGCACTGGAAGCAGAAGCGAAGAAACTGGCTCAGGCCAAGTTAGCTGCAGGCAAGGGTGATGCAGATGATGAAGAAGAAGATCAACCTGTAACCATAGAGCTGCCATCATCGTCTGAGGAGGAGGGTAAGTTGATAGTCAGAAATTTGACAATAATTGAAAAGCCGCTGGTTTCCATTTACAGTGCAACAGAAAACTGAAAAACTGACCATTGCTGAGCGCTGGGAAAATCTGTTAAATGAGACCAAGGCTAAAGTAGTGGCGGAGCGTATGGCTGAAGAGGCAACACCTCCTCGTATTAATCCAATACTGCGTCGTTTGCTCAAGGAGATTGAGGAGTTTGATAGAGAAATCGTTTGGACTATCAATCATATTGTTTGGGCCTTTAATTTACCCTCGTCCTATGTGCTGCCCGGTCAAGAAGAAACTGAGTTTGAAGAAGCGCTTATACGTGTTCCTGTAGATACAAAGAAATTAGAATTGGTTCCCACTTATACACAAGGTCAGCTCGAGGATGTGGTTGATGGTTGGATGACGTATCTAAATAAAACAATGAAAGCCTTGAAGGATGCCAAGCTAGACGAGTTCACTCCCATGGCCGAATATCGCTACTGGCATAAAATGGAAATCGATCTGTATGGCACACTGGAGCAGTTAAAAACTGAATTTGTGATGGCCGTACTTAACCGTCTAGCCAATGATGGATCCAAAAAGCTTATCGATTGGAATAGAGTTCTGGCGAAAACAGAGGAACGATTCAAATTGGCAAAAGAGAATTCGGATTACCTTGGCACCGTAACAGACTACTTGGAGGTATGTTGAAGCCCGAAATGTCGACAATCGCTTTATAGTCTTTTTCTCTTCGTTAGAAAATACAAAACTATGACAGCATGAAAATGGCCATAATGCAGATACCAAATGTAATGGTCGGCTTACGCCACATCTGGACTATGTCTAGCTACTATTGCCGCGATCCCGAAATGCAAGTGCTACTCTGTGAAATATCGAATGTGTTTGTGCAGAAGGTGAAGAAAATAATTAATTTTGACAATATATTTCGGTGAGTTTAAGTCGACCGAGTAGACAATCCCTTAAGCCAAGTCATTAATAACCTCAAACGTTCAGCTATTCTGCATCCTATACATATGAGACTGCCAACAACTGTGCAAACATTTTGCGCTGCTGGAAGGAGGCCTACAAAGTAAGCCGCCAGCACATTGAAGAATCCGGTGCCGGTTCCCGTTGGGAGTTCGATCGTGTAGCACTATTCAATGAGGTCAATCATATATATCAAGTGGCTGTGGATATTGCATATGTGGGGCGGGTGTTTATACAGTATGAAAACTTGTTTGGACGCAATCTTAAGGCACTGATAACTGATCCCGCTATTGTGGATAATCTTATGCGAAAAATCTATCGCTTGCTAGATGATCTGATTCGAAGCGTCGATTATGATATGTTCCTGCCCAGCAATTGGGAGAACTGGGAGTACTCGCTGGAGCAGTTTAATAAACGTCTCGAAAGTCTCGAAATTGATGCCAAAGCGGTTATAGATCAGAGCATTAACTCGTTACTATCTGCCCAGAAAGGTATCAAGCTGCTAGTCAATGCAAACACCATTGACACGCGACAGGTTCTACAGCAATTCGTTTCCACGAAACATGAGAATCTACTACGGTTTTTTGTGAGCGAGATTAATAACGTGGAAACAGTGTTCACAGTACGTAAATTTGATTGCTTTATATATTTTCTTGACTAGGAGGTATTTTATTTTTATCATTGTTATTATTTTACAGAAATTTAAGAAAACACCACCAATGCCGAAATTACAGCCCGCTAAAATTAGCGCCATCTGTTGGGCACGTTTGTTGGGCAGGAAGCTCAAGAACTCTGTCTTGGCATTCAAGACCGTCGAAGACGATCCGGCAATGAAGAATAGCTTTCTAAAGCGTAGCGCATTTAAGCAATACTTTGAGCTGATGACAGTTATGTTCCAGTTCGAAAAGATACTTTTTGAGAAATTCATACAGAACTCCACTTTTATAGTAAATCATACCAACCGATCCAACATACTGAGTATAGAAATATGCGTTGATGAAACTCGTAAGTACTCATTACTTCGGCCATTAGACATTCAACTGATCAAACTGTATTCCTACTCCAGTCAATTATATATCGGAAGCGACACAAACACTTAAGTCCAAGAGCCGAGCAAATTCTATATTGCAAATGCATTCTTCACAATATGGCGGTAGTATGAGTTTAATGGATGTCAACTCTGACGGTAGTGGAGAAGGATCCATCAGTTTCTATGAGGAAGAGGATGATGACAACTCGCAGACCGCAGTAGACGCTGCTCAAATAGGTGTCATGTGCAAAATTAATCGGTTCACGGTACTCACAGCGATGATCATGTGGATGGTGGGCAAGACGCGTCATGCGAATCTGCAGCTAGCTAAGGCAAATGCCTTTTTAGCTGCCATGAAAGAGCGAAAGCCAAAGGACATCACTCCTCGTGATCGAGAATGCATGCAGACATGTAACTGTGAGTATTTTAAACAAGCTCATTGTATACTATCATAATGACATGTATCAACTCACGTATGTGCTTCGAATGTAAGAATCAGATAGGTTTTTAATGTATCTGCAATTTTCTCTTCCATTTAAGTGCTTCTTCATGCGGAATCGCAACACATGTTGCCTGTGTGGCGGGAGCTAGTTGGAGATAAGGTTCTAATCGAGTACGATATGCAGTTTGTTGTCAACTTAAATCGTGAGGTGTTTGACACAATGTTCGAGGGACAGCTTTTTGAGCAACTGGGCTTTACGTTACCTACAGCATTACGTACTTCGATCATGAGAAAAGACATTCTCTTCAAGGACTATGAGAAGCTATCTGAGGTTATTAATCGGTACAATGCGATTATTAGCAACCTATCAATGTCCGAGGTGGTGTTTTTACGAGAGCACATCTACGACACGGAGCTGTTTATACAAATGGGTGTGGGGCGCTTCAACTGGATATCGTTCAATATTATCAAATTTTGTGACCAGATCAACTCACAACTGCGCAAATTGACCTCGATAGTGTCGCAAATAAATTTTATTCGTCGGGACCTACGCAACCGTATCGATGAAATCCAAAAATATAATCTGTTTAATCTAGATTCAGAAATAGCTCGACTGAAAGATACAATCACAAGTGTAGTGCCTGAACAAAGCTTTACAGGATCCATAAAAAACTCTATGGCACACACCTTCAAGTCAATGACAGGCGAAACAATTACAATGCTGCAAGCCGATGATAATCATGATGAGCAGAAAGTTATTCAAGACCTGACTTGTGGCACGGGAGTTTACGCCTGCCAAGGCTATTTTGAGCTTCTGGAGGCATCCCGTAATCAGAAAGCGGCACAAATGAAAAAGCTATACGATTCCCTGGGACCAGTTTTAATAAAACTAGAAAGCTTAGTGTTGGGCACATTCACTGGCCGGTCGGAAAAAATGCGCAATTACTACGAATTTTGGGAGGAAGAGACTTTCAAGTGTATTGTTGAGTAAGTTGCTGTCTTAAATAGATAATCCTAATATGGGTACATATATGAAAACGTAATTTACAGTATGACATTTGAAAATTTAAAATGCTACATTAATCGACTGCTATCGAATGAGCCCATGTTTGAGGTGAATGCTGTGCTGCTCATGTCTGAAATTGTATTGGAGCCGTCCGCCAATGAACTGCAGAGCATCATAATAACTGCAGCCAAGGATTATCTGACGCGGTAAGTCTTTGATTCCATACAAAACTTTTGCTGACCACTGCCAATCCACAGAATTAAAATATTCACACGCTGGATGTCCGGCACTTGTATCAACTGTCCGCTACTTGATGCAGGCACCCAGTGGAAATATAACTATACATTCTTCGAGGATGTAATGAGCATCAATGATGTGGTGAATCTTGTTATAAATATACACGATTTAGCTGCAAAAATTGTGAACGAAGCCAAGTCCTTTGTGTCGCAGTGAGTATAAATTGGTTTCTTTATGTTAATGATTGCAATTGGTTGTTTAAGATTTCGCAAGTACTTTAATCTATGGGCCTTTGAGAAGGATATCATATGCCAAAAGTTTGTGGAACGTCAGGTTACGCTCGTCGAAATCGATGAAAAATTTACATTTTACTCGACCATCGTAGAAACCTTGGATCAAATGCGCCAGTACCATGATGTCAGATGTGTACGCATAAATTTGAGACCATTGCTGGAAAGCATCAAGCAACATGCCCAGGAATGGTGCACCATATTGGGCGAGGAGTTGTTGCAGCATGTCATCGACAATATGAGGGCCATGCGAAACGAAATCAAAGTGAGCAGAGGAATACCACATGGCATCAATCTCCCCACCAACTCAAACCACTTCTGTAATCCCTTATATAGTTGCTGAGTTTGAATCTTAACAAGACCACACGAGAGCTAGAGGACTTTAAGCTGGTCATGCAAACAATCGCCACAATTCAGTCAACAACGTTGACAAATGAACAGAAAATACATGAGATGCAGGAGACCTTTACAGTGCTAAGTGAACACCAAATTACGGTAAGCTTTCCAGCTCTAGCCTACTATCAATCAATGAATGTACATTTTTCTATAGTCTAAGCTAGACAAACACAAATTTTTGTTATTAATAATTAAGCTTCACAAGCTTCAATATATAGTTGTTATAACTAAATCCGGAATACTGCAGAAGCAACTGACTACATAATCAATTGTATCATATTCTCAAACCCTTTGCTTACATACAAGTTTCAAAAGTGTGGGAGAATAGGTGCATATTATATGCATAATCTTACTCTTTGCCGATATCCATGTGTAATAGAATGATATCGTTAAGTCTTATCTACTCTATTTAGAGAGCATTTGTGACTGGTTTAGCGGAATTCGCTAATGTCGAGTAAGTTGTTGGAGGCGCATATTTGTGTATTCAAATGAGCTGTTTTGGAAATCCTTTTAAAAATCTTTTAAAGCCTTTGTGGTCGACAGCAGCTACACACTGTTTACATATGCATATTTCGTGGTCAGAGAGCGGAGCATGATTTGAAAATGGCTTTCCGCATGCTGGCATGATACAGACTCACACACACGCACACAAAATGGTTGCATAAGCTCGACATTCGAACTAGACACAGACAGCGGGTGGCAGCAGTTAGTTGCTAACGGTCCTTTGCTGGCCCAGTCATTTCCGTCCGTTCTCCACTTTCCGTTCGTGGACCTCTGTATGTCCACCAGTTGGGATTCGTTATTGATTGCATTTCGTTGCGGCAACGGCGCTTAGCTCTGGCTCAGACAACGACGGAATTAACTTGCATTTTATATAAATTAATGAATAAATGAACAAATGCACTCTCACACACATACACACGCACACAAGCGCAACAACGTAAAAGCTACAAAGGCCATATGAAAATTTATGCAATGACGACCAATTGCGGCGGCGGCGGCATTGAAAGCTTTGCAATTTTTTCAATACCCAGCAACCACACGAAACAAGTTAATAGTGCTTTTAAGTACGTATGTAACATGATGGATATCAAGTGTGAAAATATATAATTAACTAAATTTTAATTTTCTTTGAAGAGAAGATAGATGAGTAGAAGTCTTTGAATACAGGGTATCGTCTAGTCGGTTAGTCGACCTAGTTGACCATTCTTTTATTCATAGCTTTCTGCGTGTTGCAGTTGCGGTTGCGGAAGCGACACTTGGCAGCTCGTTAGTGAATTCGGCACTATTGATGATTATTATTTGCACTCAGCAATAATTGAAGGCCATTGCCTAATTTGAATGTCGGTGAAAGCTTTTATTTTTTCTTAATTTTTCGATTTTTTCTGTTTTTTTTTGCAGTTTATGTACGAAGACATGCTGATGGTCCATCATCTGGAGAAACGCTGGAAGCGTCTATTTTTATCGGCATTGTATCGCTCGGAGAAGCTGCAACCAATTAAGCAAAAATTCGCAGAGTTGACTACCGGAGAAATCGAAATTTTCTGGGACGATGTGAGTTGTCAAGTCGACGCTAGGCGCCACTCCTTGACGAGTGAGAAGAGTGTGGTGTAGGTGTGGTGTGGGGCTTCACTTTGCACTGCTTTGCCATCCCTGCATTTCCGCAATTTTGCGTTTTCTGCAATTCCGTTTTGTTTCCCTCTATTATTATTTCCTTTCGATGGCATTTTAATTGGATTTTTCCGCCCGCCCAACCGTTATTGTCAATTGTTAGTGGCAACGGTGCCGTCAGCGTAAAATGAATTAACTTGAAGTGTTTATTATTTGAATTAAGGCGTGAGCAAAGAATCGAGCAGCATAGCACTGGGAGTCCTGCACAAAGCGCAACAATAAAAAGCTGCTATTCGACAAGTGTACTGGACTAATATTGCGTTTTCCTTTCCATCTCAACAGCTGGAAGATTTTATCAAGGATTGGGATGAGAACGGACCTGGCTCCCATGGCCCTGATCTGGAACGCGGCGTCCGTTTGATGGATCAATATAGCCAAAAAATAAACGAGCGAGAGCTAAGACGCCAAGAGCTGGCTAATGCGGAACGTCTATTCGATATGCCAATGGTGGACTACCATGAATTTTCTCGCGTGCAAGCTGAATTCGAGGGATTACAAACAGTTAAAACCAAATTCAGATATTGGTATCCAACAATTGCTTTTAATACTTCTAGTTTTTTAGATCTTCAAGCTGTACAGAGCCCAAAAGAATAGTCGTGAAATCTGGGGCAAAACATTGTGGGTTGATTTAGATCCAAATTTCCTGACTGAGGGTGTTGAAAGCTATCTGAAGGAATTCCGTAAAATGCCTAAGGCGGTAAGTCACGCCCCCACGGCGTTTCGAATAAAAAGTTTGACTAATTGGTAAAGTTTCGGCTGGCCAGGAGTTTTTCATAAAATTGCAGAGGCGCTAAAACAATAACAAGCAAATGCTTCTCAGCTAAACGCTCAGTTTGCTTTCATACCCTGTTTCACCCTGTCAGCTCGACGGGTGTTTCTTTCTATTATTTACTTAAAAATTGATATGTACTCAGAAGGAAATACAATGCTCGTATCAAAGATTTCAGCAGTTAGCCGTTAACAGTCTACGAGTTTAATACATCTCTTAAACAATTCAAAGCCATTCAACTTTATAAAGCATGTCTAATAGTCGAACTCCATGCACTTGTTGACTTTTCCTTACAACAAACAAGTAAAGTGAAATTTGGCCTAGCAGCGTCGAAATTTTGCACCTAAACTGATTATGACAAATTGATTTATTTACTTCACTAACAAGTTTCTGAGGAATTTCCCTCCGTCCAGGCCAAAAGTTTGTCGCGCCAAAAAGTTTTATTCATACAAATGAACCGAGTTGTTGTTGAAAAGTGGCTGCAACTGGGCCGGCAGAGGGTCGAGTGGAGCTGGATGACTTTGTGGGAGGGCATTCGTATCTCTAAACAGTGATTACATGCATAGATTAGCATGCAAACTATTTCATTAGTTTATCATTAATATAAATAGCGCACTGAACACAAATTTGAATATAATCAGTTGGCATGCACACATTTTAATGCAGTTTTTATAATGCATAATTTTGGATGGGCCTTGCAGCCACATGTCGTTGTCGGCAGCCATGGCATAATCAGTGTCCCAAAATGCAAATCAATTTGTTCAATATTGAAAATAATTAAAATGCCAACGGGTGTCGGCCGATATGCCCTGGACGGTCTGCGCCGCGCCAATAACCCGACATACTCTCTCTCTTTTTCCTCGACTTGTTGACAATCCTCTCCTCCCTGCTGTCTCGCAGTGCTGGATTTTAATTTATGCCCGCACTGTTTCGCTCAATGCATGCATTGAATGTACATGTGCAAACTTTCATAGAGAGACACGAGCAATGCGTACAAATGTAAACAGAATGCGCTTTTTGGCAAACTTAACAAGCCCGCTGCCATTGACCAAAACCAAACCAAGCCACCAAAGCCACAGGCGCAGCGCTTGCGTCATAATTCAATTCGGCTGTAACCACAACTGACAGTAGCCAGGACCGCACTATTGTTTCAACTGATTTGACGTAGCTAACTAACCGTTTATCGTCTACATCACACTCTTCCCTTCGTTCACGCCATAGGTGCGTATGTTGCCCACTGGCCAGCAACTGGAAACGCACATGAAACAGTTCAAGGCCACAGTCCCGTTGATGGTCAGCCTCAAGCATGAGGCGCTGCGTGAACGCCATTGGCTACAGCTGATGGAAAAGACGAATCAGTTTTTTGATATGTCACCCAGCCGCTTCACATTGGACAATATGTTCGCAATGCAGTTACATAAGTATCAGGAAATCGCCGAGCAGATCCTCACTAATGCTATCAAGGAATTGCAAATTGAGCGTGGCGTTCGCGCCGTGGAGGAAACATGGGGTTCAATGTCCTTTAAGGTAAACAAACATTTCAAGGGCACAGAAGACCGCGGTTGGATATTGGGACCAGTCGATGAGATAATGCAAGTCCTTGAAGATAATGCCATGAACTTACAGTCAATGGGAGCGAGTCAGTAAGTTTTACATTTAAGATCATATAGTCACAAAAGAATTTAGATAAAACGATACAAATTAAGAGAGTACTTGAGCTAATTATGCTAATCATTGTAATTTAGCTTTCGTTGACAAAGCCCAACTATAAAAACTGCTGTCTATTCTTTCAAGTCGATTTCTTTTGATTTCTGAGGCACTTTGTGAAGGGTCCGATATTATATAATACCAAACTCTTATATATTTTCCCAAATATGTTATATTTAGACTTGAGGGCATCTGCTAGATTGCTATAATATAATTGTTGTTCGCATGCAGATTCATTGGTCCATTTCTGGAAACTGTCAACCGATGGGAACGGGCACTCGCGCATGTTTCAGAAATCATCGAGGAATGGCTGATTGTACAACGAAAGTGGCTGTACTTGGAGGGAATTTTTATTGGAGGCGACATACGCACACAACTGCCGGAGGAGGCGCGTAAATTCGACGACATTGACAAGTCGTATCGCAGGGTAAGTATTTGCTGTTTGGTATGTATTTGTTTATCCTGGTTGTTTGCCTGTGTGCCACTGCCATGGCCGAAATATCTACTCAATTTATTTGAGTTGATTTAATGTGCGCCGACAATATGGCGACGCCTTACTTAACGGTAAACATAATACGCATGCAAACGACCACTTTGCGTATTCGTAATTGTGTTGCCATACGACTACTACACACACACACCACCACATACTCTTACATTCCAAGGTCCTACAACCATACATCACACATGCGCTCCGTCAGCCGGCGCAGTGTTTACCGAAGCCAAAGGCTTTCACCTTACCGTGTGATACACACACTTTATACTGCATGTGTTCTTGCGTACGTTTGTATATGTGGGTGTGTGATTTGTGTTTATGTTTGTGTTTGTGTTAGACGCTTAACTTCACTTAACCTTGCTCGCCACTTGCGTCGTTTGCTTTACGTTTCATTTGCAACATTTGCCGACATATTTGATGCCATTTATGAAATGATTTATTATTTTGATTTGCTTTCGACATTCGTATTATAGTAATACTCTTCCAGAACAATGTGTTATTTAAGATTTCTATGGCGTTGACAAGGCAATAGTAATCTCTGTTCTCCATTTAAGTCCTAAGACTTGAAATGGTTTTGCAAGCAATGAAATAGAATTAAAATTTGCAGAACTATCTAAAATTTAATTTTACTGCCGAGATTTTGTACCTAAGTATAACGCCAGATAAAATGATTGGCATTCTTATGATCCTAAGAACTCTTCTCCACAAATAACACAAGATATATATATGTATTTTAATTTTTTATCTGAAATTTTATACTTAAATAATAATACTTAATAAAAATACTCAATAATAATACTTATTCAAGGGTATTCACGCGAGTATTTGACAAGTTATAATATTTTGTTTTCGTGTTGTGCTTGATATGGTTCATTGTTGTTGTTGTTGCTGATGTGCTCATTGCTTTTCAAAATAATTTACTGCTCTAACTGCTGCTTCCTCTTCCATTGCAGATCATGGTCGATTGTGCCAAAAATCCGTTAGTGGTGCCATTTTGTGCAGTGCCCGGACGTTTATTGGATATACAGAGTCTAGGAGTTGGCTTGGAAAATTGTCAGAAGTCGTTAAACGAATATTTGGACTCAAAGCGTCGCATTTTCCCGCGTTTCTATTTCATATCCACCGATGAGCTGCTCTCGATTTTGGGCAGTAGCGAGCCATCTGCAGTGCAGAACCACATCATTAAGGTGGGCTGAAGTTCCTGGCCATGTGTGAATGTGTGAGTGTGTGTGTGTGTGGGATGAGTCCGACAACAACAGATTTGCTAAACTGCCAGCAACATTATTTTTATGTACGACTGAGTGAGTGTGTGTGTGTGTGTGTGAGTGGAAGAGAATCTTGCCATAAAAGTTAATGTCACTGTTTATGCGTTCTGGCCAATGTCCAAGGCGGAAATTACGCCATTTGTGCAGCACATGCACTGGTCTCTGCCCACAGGCCAGAACAGTGGTAAATTTTTATGAATTTATTTGGCTTATAAATAAATATGTATTCCTGCGCATTGATTTCACAATTTTCATTCTGCTTCCGCAGATGTACGACAATATCAAGTCGCTGCGCCTGGTCAAGGAGGGCGGTCACACAGTTGTTACCGCCATGATATCCAGTGAGGGCGAGGTCCTGGAGTTTCGCCATTTCAGTAAGTACACCCAACTCCCAGTCACTTCCGCTCCTGCTCTTTAGGTCTCCAGGCAAGCGGCCGGCAGAGTCCCTACGCACTGATTGCCAATTTTAAAATTGAACTTTTTTATGGCTCTGCTCTCCGGCTGGCTGACTGGTTGGCTGAATGGTTGGATGGCTGGGAGGAACGCTGGCCAATTTCTTTTAATTAATTTGAAGCCAGTCGGCGTTGCCGTTATCCCCTGCTGGAGATGATTGCGCATTCGATTTTTGTTGTTGTTGTTGTAATTTGGGTACTTTGATTTTTATTGTTTTTGTATACACTTATTGATATTGGCGACTGGGGTTTATTTATGTGGTTATGCCATTTGTTGTTATTGTTTTTGTTTTACAGTCCGGGCCCATGGTCGTGTGGAGCATTGGATGAACGATGTGCTGGATGAAATGCGTATCGCGAATCGATATGTAACCAAGACGTGCATCTACGACTTTGGTACCGATCTGGTTATTTCAAGGTAAGTGAAGCACATTAAATATATATAAAGAATGCTTATATATATACAAGATGTATGTACATGATGGCTATAGCCCGTCGCCAGGGTGGCACTGATTCCGCTTTCGACTTTAACTCCCACTTCTTTCGGTCGCCTTTTATGGCCAGCGATTTACATTGAGACAGTAAGCCTGTGGCTGTATAATTTTGTCATTTGGCGCGATTTATTATTTTTTTGTATGAGCCGGCCGGGAAGCATGTCTCGGCATATTTATGGCCAATTGCATTAAATTGACAGTCATTTGGCACTTTCGATTTCCACAGGCCGGACTGGTTAATGAACTACCAAGGCATGGTGGGCTTGGCGGCCAGCCAAGTCTGGTGGACGGCAGAAGTGGAGGAGGCTTTCGATCAGGCCCAAAACCATGGCAACATGCGCGCAATGAAGGACTTCCTCATGAAGAGTAATTATCAAATTGAGGAGCTGGTACTGAAAGTGCGCTCAAATCTTTCGCGGAACGATCGCCTAAAGTTTAAGGCGATATGTACTATTGATGTGCACGCTCGCGATATTATAGATAACTTCGTGCGCGATAATGTGCTGGATGCCAGTGAGTTCAGCTGGGAAAGTCAGCTACGTTTCTACTGGGTCAAATTCTACGACAACCTGCTTGTGTTGCAGTGCTCGGGCAGTTTCGACTTCGGCTACGAGTACATGGGTCTTAATGGACGTCTGGTGATCACGCCATTAACAGATCGAATCTATCTAACCATTACCCAGGCACTTCTAATGAATCTCGGCGGTGCACCAGCCGGTCCCGCTGGCACAGGTAAAACGGAGACTGTCAAGGATCTTGCCAAAGCCATGGGACTGCTCTGTGTGGTCACCAATTGCGGTGAGGGAATGGATTTCAGGGCTGTTGGCACCATCTTATCTGGTCTAGTGCAATGCGGTGCATGGGGCTGCTTCGATGAGTTCAATCGCATTGACATATCGGTGCTCAGTGTAATCTCTACACAGCTACAGACTATACGCAATGGATTAATACGAAAGCTCAAGCGTTTTGTGGTACGTAAAGTCCAAATTTAAAACGTTATAAGAGTTGCTAATTTTAATCTGCACAGTTTGAAGGTGTTGAAATAAGTTTAGATCCCAAGTGCGGCGTCTTTGTAACCATGAATCCAGGTTATGCAGGCCGCACTGAATTGCCCGAATCGGTGAAAGCTTTGTTCCGACCTGTAACCTGCATCAAACCTGATTTGGAGCTCATTTGCCTGATTTCACTGTTTTCCGATGGCTTCCTTACGGCCAAAGTGTTGGCCAAAAAGATGACAGTGCTGTACTCGTTGGCTCAGGAACAGCTCTCCAAGCAGTGCCATTACGATTGGGGCTTGCGTTCGCTGAACTCTGTGCTGCGCATGGCTGGTGTCATGAAGCGTCAATCAGAGGACTTACCAGAAGCTGTTGTACTGATGCGCGTCCTGCGGGACATGAACTTTCCCAAATTCGTATTCGAAGATGTCCCTCTCTTTTTGGGTCTTATCAAGGATTTGTTTCCAGGCATCGATTGTCCACGTATTGGCTACCCAGACTTCAATGCGGCTACTCGAAATGTCCTTGTCAACGATGGCTACATACTGCTGCCTGATCAGGTGAGTTCTTTTGTCATTGGCTCTGTGCGTGTGCTCCTTTTGCCAAGTCATGACATGGCTGACAAGCAAAAACCTACCGGTCAGGGCAGATACCAATATAACTAGTTGCTGAAGCTGTCCTGCTGCAGTCCGGTTGTCATCGTTGACACTTTGACACTTTGTAAATGGCCCTTTCTCGCATAATCGCAAATAGCGGAAATGTTACAAAGCATTTTGCAGAACAAAACTTGCCATGCCCTCGTGCAGCTGCCTACATCTAATTTTAACTTTTGTCCTCTTTGCTATTTCCTATCTATCTATCTGCTTTCTGCTGACAATTTTCACTAATACAATTTTCTGTACTTTTGTCTCCACCTGGCCATTTTTGCCATTTTCATCAAACAAAACGTTGCACAAATGTCGCACAAAATGTCAACTGCTGGCCAACTGATGTCATGACGACCTTCTCTTCTACCGCCCGCTGGCGACACCATTTATGGCAACCAAATCCCAACAACAACGGAACGGCACGCCTTCACCTTTACCTTTTGCCCTCGCACTGTGCAACGACAGGAAGACAAAGTGGTGCAAATGTACGAAACCATGATGACCCGACACTCGACCATGCTTGTAGGTCCAACAGGTGGTGGCAAAACTGTCGTCATAAATGCTCTGATCAAAGCGCAAATCTACATGGGCCTGCCCACCAAGTGCCTTGTGCTTAACCCTAAGGTAAGTGGTCTGCCACTTTAATACCCAACACACTCACAAATTCATATACTCTTTCTTCGTGGTGCTGGGTAAATAGTTACCATACTTATATTAGCTCCAATACTGAAATCCAATATGTTCACAAATGGCTTATATATAAACTATTTAATAATTAATTGTTCATGTTTGTAACTAAGATCAATCTTAAACTGAAAGGTATGTTCGTCAGAGGTAATAGAAAAGGCATAGAGCATTCAGTTTTCGTTGGAAAGGCTCCAATTGTTCGTGTTTCTCTTTGTTCTGCATCAAGCTCGCTCATTATTACCTCTGGTTTAAAAGCGGGACGTACAGATGATTTTGTTTCCCTTTGATATTACAGTTCTCTTTGTTATTCGCAATTCTCTTATTGAAGATAATAAGACTGCATTTGAAAAGCGTATGCAATAAGTAATTTTAGTTCAACTCAGATATAAATGTTTGCAAATGGCACAAGATATAAACGAGGACTAAGGAATTTGGGTATAACTGTAATTTAATATGCCAAAAATAATTATCCCCGAAATATAAATATATATATTTATATATTTTGAAAAACTATCAATTGTTTTATAGGCTTGCTCGGTAATTGAATTGTATGGTTATTTGGATATGGAGACAAGAGATTGGATTGATGGATTATTTTCAAATATATTCCGTGAAATGAATAAGCCAATAGAGCGTGAGGTAAGTAAAGTAAACATTTGATATATTCCCTATATTTGCTGATGGTTGGCGCTGGCTGTTATCGAGCCACCCAGGAGTCCAGTCTCTTTGCAACCGGAGTAATCCCATTTGAATGGAAGTGCAACAGCAGCTAATCCGTACATACACACACACACAAACTCACACACACATATAGAACAAGCACATTTCTGTTAAAGCCGACAGCATTCTCTGTCAGTTCAGACGCCAGGAGTATGTAACAGACGCAAGCTTGCAGGCCTTGGTTTTGCATGTGTTGAGTATTCATACGAAAGTCACGCCATTCTCTATTAAATCCTATTGCAAAACCAACCTACGGCCGATCCATTGCCTAGTGGCGATGGCTAAACAAACTATGTCGCCTGACAATCCATTCGGTTACTCAGCCTTTTGACTTTCAGGAGGTAATCTTTCGTTCGTAGCTCTAGCTGTGTCGCAGATGTTGGTGCCGATAGACATAGCTTTTCCCATCGCTAATCAGTAACCGCTGGCATTGAATAACACACTCTGACTAATGCAATCCAACACCACCCAATACAAACAGGAGCGCCGGTATGCTTGCTTTGATGGTGACGTGGATGCACTTTGGATTGAGAACATGAACTCTGTTATGGATGATAACAAGCTGTTGACATTAGCGAACGGCGAACGAATACGCCTGGAGAACTATTGTGCGCTGCTTTTTGAAGTCGGTAATTTGTTTTATGCCTCTCCGGCTACTGTGTCCCGGGCTGGCATGGTATATGTAGATCCCAAGAATCTTCGGTTTAGTCCATTTTGGCAACGTTGGGTATTGACTCGACCAGAGCCGCAACGGGAGTTGCTTAACGACTTTTTCGAAAAGTTAATTGTAAATGCCATAGCGTTCATATTAGAAGGTCTGGACGGAACCACACAAGGCAGTCCGCTCAAGCTAGTTATCATGCAAACCGACCTCAATATGGTCACACAGTTTTGCAACTTGTATGACGCACTGCTACCGGTATATGGACCGTCTGATAATAAAAATTCGGATGAGCCTGTGCTCAAAGTCTACAATACAGATACTTTGGAATGCTGCTTCATACAGGCTATCTATGGATCTTTGGGCGCCTGTCTACTTGAAAAGCATCAGCTCATATTCGATGAGTTTATGAAACGCATTGCCGGATTTCCTCTAGTGGAAGACACACAGGCATCGCCTGCCGGTGGCGGACAACTGCCACAGGGCAAGCCCACGATCTATGATTACTACTGGGATCTGAAGGAGAACTGCTGGATAGCTTGGGAATGGGTTGTTAAGTCATACGAGCATGACCCATCCGTCAAGTTTAGTGAAATTCTCGTTCCGACTGTGGATAATACACGTACGAATCGACTGCTGGCACTCATGAGTGATGTAAGTGGAAGTGGAAAACTCCGACAGATCACTAGGTTTGTCTATTAAACTAATGACATACATGGCTTTCCAGATTAGACGACCCGTTTTATTGGTGGGCGAAGCTGGCACATCGAAGACGGCTACTATCATGCAATATTTGCGCAATCTGAATCCTAATATCAATGTAATTGATATGAAAAAGATGCGGGCTAATAAAGCTTTTCTTTAATATTTGCCCTTCCTCCAGGTCATTCTCAATATTAATTTTTCATCGCGAACTTCATCTCTGGACGTGCAACGTACGTTAGAGGCAGCTGTCGAGAAACGTACTAAGGATACATATGGCCCACCGATGGGCAAGAAAATTGCCTGCTTTATTGATGACATGAACATGCCGCAGGTGGATGAGTAAGTACTTAATCTCTTACTAAAATGAGAAATGAAAAATTAAACTTTTTTACAGTTACGGCACTCAGCAGCCGATTGCGCTGCTGAAGTTGTTCTTCGAGAGAGGTGGCATGTATGATCGGGACAAGGATCTCAACTGGAAAAAGTTTAAGGACATGACATTCTATGCTGCTATGGGCACCGCTGGCGGAGGTCGAAACGAAGTTGATCCGCGCTTTATCAGCATGTTTTCCACATACAACATCTTATTCCCTAATGATGAGTCACTCATACAGATCTATTCATCTATATTTAAAGGGCATTTAAGATTTGTCAAATTCCATGACCGCTTTATAATAGTTGCCGATATTATTGTAATTATGACGCTCAAGCTATTTAAGGTTAATATTCCTATCATTCAATGTTATTATTTTTACTTTGCTTATGAGTATGATACCAACTAATTCTGGCATTAACCAGAATTCTTGCCTCAGAATTTATTTCAAGAAAATAAACTAAGAAGCTCGGCAATATTTTCCATAATGATATACTTCACAATCTTATTCAACGAAACTGTTAAGAATCATTTAAAAACCACAGCTTCATTTTTGTTGAAAGTCTGTCAAAGCGAGCTCTTGTGAAGGGTACAAAAAGCTATCGCATTCTGAAGAGCGCTTTAAAATCTCTCACAAATTTTATGAAATTCGATTTACATATGCAAATAGCGGCAATTTTTCATAATCTGCTTTGCTGCCTCGCCACCATACAATGGAAATTATTCAATGGTCTGTAATGCTCGACGACGAGCGTTGCCCTCCATAGCTGCTCCATTGGTTCCTCGAGTACAGCTCGATGCTGGTGGCAGTCGGAGCCAGAGCACCAGTTACAGCTAGAGCTGCTGCTGTGGCTGTTGCCATAGCCATTTGCTGTTTGGCCTTCCACACAATGGTCACCCGCCTCGACTGCTGCCTAGTTGACTGTGTCTAGGTTGGTCTTGGTGCTTCGCCTATCTTCGCCGGCACATCTTGGCTGAAGCAAAATTTGATTATGTTCAAGTATTGAACTGTAGATGGCTCTTTTTGTGCCTCCCTGGCCCTTCCACAGGCTGGAGCATTAGTTTATGGTGCTTTTAACAATTGTTGACACTAAAATATTATCGCATTTCATTGCGTGCAGATAAAAATGCATTTGTCGCCACAATTGCCACAAGCAGCATGCGCAAAGGCAGCGCCAGCTCCAACAGTTCCACCAAAAAAAAATAAAATAATATATATATATATGATTTACTCACACCTGCAGTTTCAGTTAAGAAGTAGTTGTAGTAACTACCCAGGCCTGTCTAGTTCGTATGTCTTCTTTACACACTCGACGCGCCAGCCCAAAAGATATTAATGTTCCTCGAAATGGAATAAAATGAATTATTTGAATAGAATTGCCCAGGTTATAGAGGGCTGGTGGCGGCTGCAACTTGATAATGGCTGTAAATTCAAGCGAATGCAAGTTGCCCAACTCTCCCCCTCCTTTTTACTTCTCACAGAGGATACTCAGCATTCGACTGCATATTGCTGGTAGTCAAGATAAAATTGATTTGTGCAGTGCTTCGCTTTATGGCGACGGCATAGTTCGTGCCCCTTGAAACTTACAGCTTTTTACTCTAATTACTGCTATTGTTACTCATTTCTTTAGATGGTCATCGTGGATCTGCCGCCGACGCCCTCAAAGTTCCATTACATATTTAACTTAAAAGATCTGTCGCGTATATTCGCGGGCATGCTTTTAATTCAGCCCACGTTTTTTAAGGATCTACGCGAGCTGTTACGAGTCTGGCGTAATGAATTTACCAGAATAATATGTGATCGACTCATTTCTCAAACTGTAAGTAATATTGCCCAAAACTGTAAAGAACTGTCTGCAATTTAAACTCTCAGGATATAACAAATGTAAATCGGAATCTGGTCGCTGAGGTGCAGGAACGCTTTCCACCAGAGTTCGAGGAAATGCATGGTTTCATAGACGTGGAGGAGGCAGCTGCAGAAGCACAGGCACGACTACTATTCGAACCGGAGCCAACAGGAGCGGGAGATGAAGAAGAAGAAGAGGAGGATGAAGGTGATGAGGAACAGAATTTAATTCTATCGCTCAAGGATTATGTGCTCCGCGATCCGCTGGTCTTTGGCGATTTCCGCAATTTCACCAATGAATCTGAGCCGCGCAACTATGAGGATCTCATAGATTATAAAGCAGTCTTTAGTTTATTTACCGAGATCTTACAGGAGTATTGCGAACGGAAACAAAAAATGACGCTAGTCTTATTCGAGGATTGCCTGGAGCATTTAACGAGAGTGCATCGCACCTTGCGCATGAATCGCGGCCATGTTCTGCTCATTGGAGTCGGCGGTTGCGGTAAGAAGTGTGTCACTCGTCTTGCCTCCTTTGCGGCCGAGTGTGAGATTTTCGAAATTACTATATCCCGTGGCTACAACGAATCATCTTTCCGCGAAGACCTCAAAGTATTGTATAACATAGCTGGAGTTAAGCGCAAGAAAGTTGTGTTCCTGTTCACAGCCGCGCAGGTCACCGCTTAAATAGCTTAAAGAATTTTAAAATTAAATTAATATATATTTTTGTAACAGATAGCGGAGGAAGGGTTCTTGGAGCTGATCAATAACATTCTCACAGTTGGCCAAGTGCCTGCCTTGTTTGCAGATGAGGATAAAGACTCAATTGTCAATCAAGTGCGAAAATTTGCCGAGGAGGAAGGCCTTTCTGCATCCAAGTAAAAATTTTAACCATTTCCCTATACTTTACCTACTAGTCTTCTACTTTATAGGGATTCAGTTTGGGCATACTTTTTGCGCTGTTGTGGCGAGAATCTACATGTGGTGCTATGTATGTCGCCGGCTGGTGATGCCCTACGCAACCGTTGCCGCAGCTTCCCCGGTCTGATTGGCAGCACATACATAGATTGGGTATTTCCGTGGCCCAAGCAGGCGCTCTATGCGGTTGCCAAGCTCTTCCTCACCGAGCACGCCCTTATTCCAGTACTTCATCGAGAGGCGATCATTGAGCACGTAGTTCATGTCCACATGACCATTCAAGATTATTCCAAGGACTACCTAACCAAGCTGAGGCGCAGCAATTTTGTTACGCCGAAACATTACTTGGACTACATAAACACCTATCTTGGACTACTCGGTAAGTATGATGGACATATTATATAAATTCACATGTAAAATATTTTGGTTTAGAGGAGAAATATAAGCACATCATGCAACAGCGCGAGCGACTTGGGGAAGGTATCAAGAAAATCGAAGAAGCTTCCGTGCAAATCGACGAGCTGCGTATTATAGTGACAGAACAAAAGAAAAATGTGGCAATTGCAGCAGAGGAGTGCGAGGCCATGTTGGTGACCATAGAGTCCTCCACGCAGAAAGCAAACACAAAAAAAGCCGAAGCATCTGAAAAGTCCGTAGAAGTGGAAATTAAGGGAAAGCAAATTACCATTGAAAAAGATGAGGCTGAGATTATTTTGGCTGAAGCAATGCCAGCAGTAGAAGAAGCACGTCGGGCGCTATCTGAACTCGAAAAATCGCAGATCACTGAGATTCGATCCTTTGCGACGCCACCGCCAGCCGTGCAAGTTGTGTGCGAGTGTGTGGCCATATTAAAGGGGATTAAGGAGATCAGCTGGAAGAGCGCTAAGGGTATGATGAGTGATGTGAACTTCCTCAAGAGCTTAATGGAAATGGATTGCGAGGCCTTAACTCAAAAGCAAATTAGCTCCTGTCGCACCCACATGAAAACTCAAAATTTAGATGATATGGGCAAGATTTCCGTAGCCGGTGCTGGGTTGTTGAAATTCGTGAAAGCTGTGCTCGGGTTCTTTGACGTATATCGCGAAGTAAAACCGAAAAAGGAGCGTCTCGAATTTTTGGTTGAAGAACAGGACGTGCAAATAAAACTTCTGAATCATTTGAATTCGGAAATACAAAAGCTGGAAGAGAAATTGGATGAGCTCAATCAGAACTATGCCACCTCCATGAGGCAAATGCGAGCATTGACTGAAATGATGCAGCAGGCCGAACGCCGTTTGCTTGCATCTGATAAACTAATCAGTGGCCTTTCTTCGGAGTTAATACGCTGGAGTGCCGAAATGGCCAGCCTGGGCCAACAGTTGATCGACAGCGTTGGCGCCTGCCTTATTAGTGCTTCGTTTCTGGCTTACACTGGTGCCTTCACTTGGGAGTTCCGCAAGACAATGGTGTTTGATGACTGGCTTGAGGATTTAGTTGCGTTGGGTATACCAGTAAAACTTCCCTTAAAAATTGACGGTTATTTAACCACCGATGTGGAAATCGCGCAATGGTCTAACGAGGGCCTGCCGCCCGATGAACTTTCCATTCAAAACGGCATCCTAACAATGCGCGCTTCGCGTTTCCCACTCTGCATAGATCCTCAGCTGCAGGCGCTTCAATGGATACGGAAGAAGGAAATGCGTAATAATCTCAAAGTACTGTCTTTTAGCGACTCGGATTTCCTGAAACAGCTGGAAATGGCTATAATGTATGGCATTCCAGTCTTATTCGAAGACGTAGACGACTACATTGATCCCGTCATTGATGATGTTCTGCAGAAGAACATTCGGGTACAGGGAGGTCGTAAGTTCACAATGTTGGGCGATAAAGAGGTTGACTGGGATCAAAAATTCCGACTCTATTTGACCACAAAGTTTTCGAATCCCAAATTTGATCCCGCTGTTTACGCCAAGGCTTTAGTTATCAACTACACAGTCACGCAAACGGGTCTGGAAGATCAGTTGTTAAGCGTTGTGGTCGGCACCGAACGGCCAGATCTGGAGCAGCAGCGGTCTGATTTGATTGCACAAACAAGCGAAAATAAACAGCTACTCCAGCAGCTCGAAGATTCGCTCTTGCGTGAGCTGGCCACATCAACGGGCAACATGTTGGACAACGTCGAGCTGGTGGAGACTCTGGAAAACACCAAATCCAAGGCAGGCCTTGTCATGGAGCAACTTAAGTTAGCCAGCGACACTGCTGCCGATATTGAGATACTACGTAATGGTTATCGAGCGGCCGCCAAGCGCGGGGCGGTACTCTTCTTTGCGCTCGCAGACATGGCCACAGTAAACAGCATGTATCAGTATGCGTTGGCTGCATATCTTGACGTATTCGTGTACTCCTTGCGCAAGGCTGTACCGGACACAGTGCTGGCCAAGCGTCTGAACAATATCATTAAGACCTTAACCGAAAATGTGTATTGCTATGGATGCACGGGCATCTTTGAGCGGCACAAGCTGCTCTTCTCATTCCAGATCGCCACAAAACTGGCGCAACGTGATGGAGTCCTGTCACAACAAGAAATTGATTTCTTCATCAAAGGTAGCATTGCGTTGACAAAAAGCGAACGTAGTAATCCTGCCAAATGGCTGCCCGAAAAATGCTGGGAGGATATCCTTAAATTGGCTTTCGATTTTTCAGCAGCATTTGGCACTTTACCTGATCATTTTGGAACGAATTTGGAAGAGTGGAAATACGTAAGTATTTCTGCCAAAAAATTATCTTTAGTCACAAGGCTTCAACGATCACTTTAATAATCACTGAAATACCAAATTAAGTTATTTTCACCAACTTAATTTTTAATTAAATTAGAAAAACCTGTCTGTTTTGTACAATTTGGCAGACTAAAAGAGGATACCAACCAACACTATAACAATTTATTTATATTTAACAAACGATCATAACATGTAAATTAATTTCTCATATCGCTTATCACTTCCATATTTATCTAATTGGCTAGGCATTAGTATTGACTTTTAATTTTTCTTCTTTTTTGAATTTGTTGCTGCACCATCTTTATGTCAACAACAAATTCAATATACCCTTATTAACTGCTGCTTCTGTGACTGCCATGAAAATAAACAACAACAACGACGACGACAATTTTGGACTTGGATGGTCGCTAAAACTGTTCCTGACTGGCATGCGGCATTTACTACTGGCTTCCGTCGCCGCTGCTCATTCTGTTTGCACTTATCGACAAATGGCCACGGCCCATGGTGGTGCAGTGGTACGACTTGGAGAACCCCGAGGAGGTGGAATGCCCTGGCGGTTACAACATCAAATGCAATGCATTCCAGGCAAGTGCCGTTGCTGCTGTGTGCTTTCGTTTTGCATGCTTTCAGCTTCAAGTGGCTGCCGCTCCGTCGTAGTCCGAGTAGGTCCTTGCCAGGAGCTGCCGTTGCCATCGAGCGTTATTGGATTTTGTACTTTATGCTCGTTTCTAGTGGATTATTATGTACAAGCCGCACACACATCCTCGCTCACACACAGACACTCTCCCACGCACACCCAGAGAAAGTCTGAGCGTTCAGTTTTACTCGACTTTTGCTACGTCCTGCAACTTTGGCGCACATTTTCTGCTCAAGTTATTAGCAGCCTGTTTTTGTCAGCCACCATAGCTGTATCTAACATAGTGTGTGCATGTGTGTGTGTATGTGTATGTGCGGGTGTATGCATTACCATATTTTATCAATTTTCCAAGCCATTAGATGAGCGGCAATTTAGGCCGGCAGTTCTACTTGAATCCAGCGGCGAGCCCAATTTGCACTCGAGTCGAGCTAGAAGCCACAAGAACGATGGCAACAACACCAGCAACAAAATAAGTGCTGGCAAGGACTAACTATAGATGAGCGCTGTCAGTCAGTGCTGTTGACATTGTGCTATTAGAATGTCGCATTGTCTAATGTCGATTTATTTCTTATGCCTTCACCACAGAAATTGCTGTTTCTGCGCTGCTTCCGTGTGGATCGAATTTTCCGTTGCATAAATCAATATATTGTGGACACCATGGATGAATTCTACATTATGCCGCCGGTTGTGAGCTTCTCCGCCGTCTATGAGCAGACGACATGTATGATTCCTGTTTGCTTTATACTCAGTGCCGGCTCAGATCCCACTAATGATCTAATTAAGCTGGCTGATATCATTCTTGGAGGTATGGGCAATTTCTGTCACATTTCGCTAGGTCAGGGACAGGAGAAGGCTGCCATGAATTTGTTGGATGGAGCGCTTAGACAGGGTCAATGGCTGATGTTGCAAAATGGTCACTTATTGGTCAAATTTGTCCGTGAATTAGAAAAGTTCCTAGATAAGGTTGAGAATCCGCATCCAGACTTTAGGCTATGGATAACCACAGATCCAACACCGACATTCCCAATTGGCATATTGCAAAAGTCTCTAAAGGGTAAATGATCTATTATTATTATAACCAGCTAAACAATAATATTTTTCTTATCCTTTATAACTGATGTTTAGTGGTCACTGAGCCGCCCAATGGCTTGAAACTAAACTTGCGCTCAACATTCATTAAAGTACGACAGGATCGTCTAGAGGCGTGCGTCCATCGTGCTTATCGTCCATTAATCTATGTTCTGGCCTTCTTCCATGGCGTTGTGCAAGTAAGTTTTCAGTCCTTTTTAGGAACAGAAAAAGCCAATTTTGGTAAATATAGCTGCACTGGAAGAGTTGGCGCAGCTGCTTCGACTGTATCATGCACTTCGTTATTTATTAATTTGTTCATTTTTATCTGCTTGTTAAAAGCATTTTCGACACAACTGCGCACAAGTTGCCCAATTGATGGAGCAGCCATTGTGCTTTTTGTCCAACAAACTGTTATTGATAGCGCAGTTACTGTTTTCTCAATTAATCTGTTCAACACGCTCCGAATTCCCGTTCCCATTTTCCATTCACTAGGAACGACGCAAATACGATAAGCTTGGCTGGAACATAGCATATGATTTCAACGACACAGACTTTGAAGTATGTACGGAGATCCTCCGTAACTATTTGACCCGCTGCTCCGAAGAAAAGATTCCGTGGAATAGTCTCAAGTATCTCATCGGCGAGGTCATGTACGGTGGCCGCGTCATCGATGATTTCGATAGACGTATTACTAACTGCTATATGAATGAATATATGGGTGATTTTCTGTTTGATGTATTCCAATCGTTCCACTTCTACGAGGACGAGAACGTAGACTATTGCCTGCCCGACGAGGAGACCGTGCTCAAAGAGGACTTCATTGGTGAGTAGTCGCTGTCTGTTAGTAGGTCACGTGATGGGACATCCCCTGTTTAAATACGTAATACATTGATCACGCAGCCCACATTGACAAACTGCCTCTGGTCAATAAGCCGGATGTATTTGGTTTGCATCCAAACGCGGAAATCGGTTATTACACAATGGCCGCGCGCAACATTTGGAACAGCCTGATTGAGTTGCAGCCACAAACTGGTGAGTGACTGGCCAACGGGCTATACTATATAATTCTGGGTACATTGATATTATAGCACAGTAGAGTGTAATATGCATTTTTCAAAACCAATTTCATAAGCTTTAGTATAACCAAGTTTAGCCACAAGTTTCTTTGAGATAATCATTTGATTTACTTATAATTTATTTATATCAATTTTATGCAATCATTGAAAGATTTTCTGTTTATTCTATCTTTTACTTTTTAAGCTTTACAAAATATTAGATCTATTCATTTTTAACCAGTAGTAACATTTGGTTGCCGGTGCAAACATATCTACGTGCATCTATATCCGATAAAGTGTTTGACAGTTCGGTTAAAAAGCGGAAGCCATTTACAAGTAAATGGTTTAATTTACATGCAGCGTGTGCCAATTGTCAGCCGTTTATTACATTTTATCTTGTTGATTTTCATTGCTGTTGCATTTTTGGCATGTTAAATTTTTAATTTAATTTAATTAATTAGTTGCGGTTTTGCAATTAACTTTATTGCATGCGCCATTATAGCCTGCGAACAATAACAGGGCATACATTAAAAATTAAAATAGAAGCATACTCGCACACTTGCACAGTGGAACAAACATACATATAACAGCCCGCACGCCCCAAATAGCCGCAAAAAAGCTGCGATTCAGTATAAGCCTCGCCACATTCACCCTGATCCGCATCTGCATTCGTATTCGCATACGCATTCACAACAGTTTTTGAAAACGTCACCCGAAAGTCGATAATTTTGCGTGGCGAACTTAAGCGTGCCAAAACCGCCATCAGAGAGCACTTCCCGCACTCGCACTCAAAGCTGTCCATGATGTACATTGTCCATGATTGTACATATATATATGTAATAAAATTTAAACAAATTTGGCGTTTTACTCTTTTTAACACCTTTGCGCAAGCATAGCTACCATATGGACACCAAATAATGTGGAAGCTGGTAAAGTATTCCATGTAAAGCTGTAAAGTATTTAATCAAATATTGAGCAGAAGATTGAACAAGCAGAACATTAACCATCCGTATGCATATGTACATATATACGCATTTTATAGTTATAAAGCTCATCACCTAATTATAAGGGACTACTGAATTGTTGTACCACTGGCTATATAAGAAACAGTAGCTTATTTAACTTGCTCGCTCTTTAGTAGTTAACGGCTGCTACCAAATCGAAGACTTTCAATTATAATTCAGTAAAATCAACTGGGAAATCTTATTTATCTTTTACATGGGAGAGACTTGCATTAGCTGCTCAACGGAATCGTTTAAGTGTATAGTGAAATCTAAAATTAATCGAATGCTTAAGATACTAATAATGATATGTGCTCTCAACATTTGTTGGACAATGAAGAACTAAAAAGTGTTATTAGGAATATGTTTTTAAAGAACTTCGTCTTAGTCCCATCCAGACTTGCTTCACAAGTGATGTACTCTAGTTTAATAGGGTAAACTCTGAACACCTGCCTAAAATTTGCATATTCATGAGCTGCAGTATTTGCTAATTGACAATTACGAACAAAAGGGAAATCTATAACACAATAAATGTCATGTGTAAAAGTTGCATTGAAACAGTAAAGGCAGTATAAAAACGAAAATTAGTTAAATTTTCAATATAAAAACAAAAGGGGAAGAGTGATGTTGACCACTGACTGCTAACTGCTATAAATTCTATATTGATGATTTTCTCTGGCAGTGTCAAGCCTAATTTATATTTTAAATTCTCACTCACTCAGGTGAGGGTTCTGGCGGTATCAGCCGGGATGACTTCATCGACCTTGTGGCTGCTGGAATACTGAAAAAACTTCCGCCCGCCTTCGAAACGTGGCGCATCCGAAAGCAAATCCAAATGAGTCTGTCACCCACCGGCGTAGTGCTGCTGCAGGAGCTGGATCGGTTTAATATTCTGGTGGTGCGCATCAAGAAGACGCTGGAGCTGTTGCGGAAGGTAACTTCGACTTTTCCATGGCTCTTGCTTCGTTCTTCTTTGCTTAGCTTTGTCTGTCAATAGGAAGCTCACATAAATCCTTCAGCTTTGTTTTGCATTTTGTTTATACATTTGCCAACTTGGCTGTCGACCAATAGTCGTGGTCGCCCGCGTTCATCCCATAAGCAATGCGACTACCATCCTATGCTGGACTGCAGCATTTTGTTGCCAAAATAAATTTACAAATGCAAATGAACTCTGCCGCTGGCGCTGCCTTTGCCATTGTCTTGATATAGATGTCGCCGCGCCCACACAAATACTGTTACCGCTCTTCTATAGATGCATGCATATGTGCTGTCATTGTGCCTTTTAATTTAATTGAATGCTCTCCGCAGGCCATCGCCGGCGAAATCGGCATGGACACTGTCCTGGACAACATTGCCAACTCGCTATTCAATGGCCTGCTGCCAGCCGCATGGAGCAAACTGGCGCCGGCCACATGCAAGCAGTTAGCCAGCTGGCTGGAGCATTTGAAGGTGAGTCGCAGTCTCTGCCACAATCGCAGCTCATTAATCAGCTCGGCGAAAAATCAGTCAGTCGCCGGTCGAGCACAGTCCACTAATCAACGATTCGCTTTCACCTGGTATTTTAGAAACGTGCCGTACAGTACAAGTATTGGTCGATTTCAGGCGAGCCGCTGGTCATGTGGCTGTCTGGACTTCATATACCGCAGAGCTACCTCACGGCCCTTGTTCAGGTGAGAAATGAGCTTCTCCATAATGTGAGTTTGTTTAACATTGCGCTGCCACCCACTTATAGATTGCCTGCCGCAGAAACAACTGGCCCCTGGATCGTTCCACACTATTTACCTATGTGACCACATACACGGAACCCGATGACGTCGAGGAACGTCCAGCGACGGTGAGTAGACTGACCGACGCTAAATGCAGAACTATGACCCTCATGTGACTAGAGCTGAAGTAGCACTGACCCACCGTACCCTCGCAAAGCACTAATTTTGTAATTAAGAATTCTGTTTGCATTTTAATCGTTGAACTTTTTACAGGGCTGCTATGTGCACGGTCTGTATATAGAGGGAGCTCGCTTTGACACACAGGCTGGTCAGCTGAAGCGTTCGCATCCAAAAGTTCTGGTCGAGGAGTTGGCCATTCTGGCCGTAGTGCCCATTGAAGCGCACCGGCTCAAGCTACAGGTTTGTGTTTATGCCACTGCAAGTTTTCAACATGGGTCCAACACCATCTGCAAAAGACAAGTACTAATGTCCTGTTGTATCTACATATACACTGGATAGACCGTTAAATGGGGCTAGCACGTTGTTGGGGGTGGTTATGGTGCCCATTCTCGCTGATATTTGTTTAAATGCTGTGCACTAAATTACCAACATCTCCCTCATTTTCCGCAGCTAATGGGGCAGCTGTTGTGCTAATTGTTTCTGATTTTAAATACGGGAAGTTTTAACCTTTATAGTAGAACAGCTAAATAATTGGTTGGAACTCGTTTGCATAGCGAAGACCAATGGAATAGGGCTTCAGTATGAGGGAGACGTTTCTGACTTTGATTCTCTTATCTATTTTATTGCTTAAACCTTAAATGTGATGACAATAGCCATTGGCTTAACGAGATGCTGAATACACGCATAGTTCCATATGAAATTACTTAGTTACCAATACTACATTTTTTAGTTATTCCAGAACTGTAGTACCCATTAATATATGATTATTATTATTAATAAGATTATTCCAATACCACATGAAGTTCTTCAATAACATAACTTTGACATTTACAGAATACGTTCCTAGCTCCCGTATACACCACATCGCTGCGACGCAACGCCATGGGCGTCGGTCTGGTATTCGAAGCGAACTTAGCCACTTCTGAAGATCTCAGCCACTGGATACTGCAGGGAGTGTGTCTAACTCTGAATACGGATACATAGAAACGACGAAGATATGTGTTAAATGCGATTTTTTATCGTTTTGCCAGTAAAATAGCAAATAAATGTATATTTGCAAGTCAGAATTGGCAATTATTTATGTACGTTTTGGATATTGTGTCTATAAATGAATTTCTAGTGCCTTTCAATAGCGTGCTTTGTGCCTGGACTTTTTTCCGGTGCGCTTTGTCTCCTGGCATTACCTTCGCCGCCAGCACCCAAAACAACTCTTGAACTTATCCAAAATAGTTGATTTCATGGAGGGCAATAGTAGCTCGAGATTCTGAGTACCGCCGCTGTCGTCGGAATCCAGATCTGACTCAATGGTCATCTCTTGTATGCTAAAAGTATCAGTTAACTCGTGATTTTGCTGACGTCGTTTAGCGCGCTTCAGCTGTGCGGGAAAGAACGATATTTCCTCTGCCTCATCACTGCTCTCAGACTTATAGTCAACCAGTGGCTTCTGCTCAAGTTCACCCGGTATGGGCAACCGATTAATGGGTATGAGCGTGGCCGCTTGTGTTTTAGTTGCCTAAAATGTATATCTGCATTAACTCAATACGTATTTAATTTGATTAAGTGCACCTACCTGCTCCTCTTGGTATTGCGTATAGTTGCGCCTGGCTCGCTCGACCTTAAGTTCCAGCTTGCGTTGCAGTATGCGGCAGGTGTTTGGCGGTTCGCTGCGGTCCGTCCCTCGTGCAGCCCTATCTTCATCGATTTCAATGGTCGTGGGCGCATACACCTTGCTGGCACCCCTAAATGCCACCTCAAACTCCAGATCCGACATATGTTTGGGCGCTCCACTAACCGTTTTCTGTATTGGGCTTAGCCATGAGCTTTTATGTTCGTGTCGAACTGCTTAAGCACTTACCAGTAAACCCGCCGCACCATCCTCATATATGTTCGATTGTCTGTCTTCACTATCTATGCCGCTGTCCTCCATAATTCTATAATTTGGACTTTATTTAATCTGCTCCTAAAATTTTGTTATAAGAACTTAAATGCGATGACAAAGGCAAACAAATTTTATTATCTCTTTGTGTACTACTCCTAACTTCAATCCACCCCAAAGCTGCACAGCGCAGAATCCAACAAACAGCTGCAGAATAACAGTCGGTGGAAAATCAATAACCCCTTATTGCACGGCGTTGCCAGATTGTTTGGAATTTGAATCATTTTAATTAATTTGAATGAAGAGATGGTTATAGTTAAGGAAAATATTTGTAATATTCATACATATGCACTCTTTATTATATAATTTTAATTTATTTACAAATATTTTTAGGCTTAAATTGCTTTACTCGTTGCACAAATATCGTAGAAAAACACTAAATAATATATATCAAATGAAAATAAGTTTTAGGCACTTTCTTCTATGGATTGAATTTAAATCAAGAATAAATAGGAACAAAAATCATAAAGTACTAATACTATTTTCTTTTGTGCTGGAAGAAATCATCGTTTATGGGATTATGTTATATGCAATTTTATTTACTTAGCAAAACGTTCGTTATATATTTGATCTGTCGGCTATGCAATTGGCGGTATTTTTGGTCTATCTATGGTTTGTGACGTTGCTTATTCTCTGAATAATTTCTGGTTTAAACTCAATTCAATGCAAATGTCCAACAAAAATGTTAGACTTGAAAATTTCGTAATTTTAGTATGGAATTAAAGCATTGGGATGCGGCTGCGGAATCTGGCCAGCCAATGTGCAGGATCTGCAGCAGAACTGCGCATAGTACTTATTCACACAGTAATGGCCCTGGATGATCAGCTTGCAGTTGGCAAAGTAGGGATTGTCAATACACTCTGGCGATAGTGGTATGACAGCTGCAAAATCAAATAAAACCTTGATTGAATATTCATTACCCATATTTTGTGAATGCTTACACTCGATTGTGACTGTCTCCTGGCTGGTACTGTAGCTGTAGGCATTTCGCGCTGTGCAACCATAGACGCCGCTGTCCTCGGTGGTAACATCACTGATGACCATACGATGCGGATTGGCTTAAATTTTAAATATGGGCGTAATTATGGGCAATGTTTCAAACCACAGATATATATCGGCTTACAAGTTATTTGAACACGTTCGTTATTGTATAGAGGCGTATTATCCTTGGTCCAGGTCACATTCGGTGCCGGATTGCCCTGCACGGCGCAGTCAATCGCAATTGTGGAGCCCGGCGTGTATTTATTTTGTGGATTCAGTCCAATAACAGCTCGGGCATCAACTATAGCGATAATTGAATGTATTATGCATAAGATTCAACTCAGTTCATGTAGAAAATCATAAAACAAACCATAACGTAATAATATCATGCAAATAGTACTTACTTCTTGGGTCGTGAACAACAGGGGGTGGCACATAGACCGGACGTGAAGGTCTATAGGGATATGTGGGCCTTTGAGTGACCGGTGCCGTTGGTGGGTTAATGATATACTCCAAGTATTTTTCATCGCCAACGCCTTGAGCTGGACCAATAGCCTTGAGCGTAATGTGCAGCGAGACAGGGCGTCCGGTGTTGTACGCGTCGCATGTATACAGGCCCAAATCGGACAGCTGTACAGATCGGAAGTAAAGCGAGTAGTCGCGGTTCATTACCGCACGACTAGTTTCGGGACCCATACCGAAGTGTTGGTTGTTTCGCCACCAGCTGACATGGGGTGCGGGATAGCCACCAGCCGGACAACGAACCAAGGCAGGTTGATTCAATTGCACAATTTGGGTGGCGTTCTTATTGCCCAATATGTAGGCTGGTACATCTCTAGGCTCTACCAACACCAACACATAATCAAAAAGCATGCAAATGGTTAAGAGCACGCAACATGCACAATTACAAAAAAAGTTAGTTATAAAGCCAAAACCAAAACAAGCAATAAACATAAAAGCCAATATCTAAGCTTCGAAAATCCGAAGTATTCAAAGCCAATTGCAAGTTACTTATATAATAAAATATAATTTAAGAGTATAGCTTAGTTTGTATATATAAATTTCGCGAATTGATTCTATTAAAAACCGGAAACCAGTCCTGACCCAGTCTAGGTAATAGCGTGCTATCGAAATATTTGTATGCCAACTTTTATTAAAAGTTTTTTTTTTTAAATAAATAAATATAATATATCCAATTTCTTAACTGGGCTGGTCTATGACTGACTGGATATGGCTATAATCGATTTTGTCAGAAATAAATTTTTAAAACTTATCGCATTTCGTTATCTTATTAAACACAAGTAACCAATTTGCAAAGGCTTGGAATAATATACATTAAAAGATTGCCACGCACCTGTCACTTGTAGTGCGACTTCGCGACGCACTGGCTCGCCCAGGCCGTTGCTGGCCACGCAAACATAGGTACCATCGTCGGTTTGTCGTACCTGGACTATGGTTAGATCGCCGTTCGAAGTCAGCACATAACGACCTTGATTGGTGTCAATCTAAAAAGATGTGGCTCCCGAATAAGATGTGGATTCAGCTTGTGAGGACTTATGGAGTACTTACAACAACATTCTTTAGGGACCAAGTAATGTTCGGTGCCGGATTGCCAGTTGCGAAGCAACGTAGTACTGCTATACCACCTATTGATGTCTGCACATCCACTTCCTGTGGCGGCTTGGATTCAAGTGTGGCTCGCACTTCGCCTGGGTAAATAACGACCGGGGGTGGAGTATTGGGTCGCCGTGTGGGACGCGCCGGAGCCACACACAGATGGCCACAGCCATCGCTGCAGCATTTGTTATCTCCGCGACAGTCGGCATCGGTATAGCATTCGCGAGCGCATTCGCTTGCATTGGTCGCCAGCTGTGGACAAACACCAGGCTTGTTGATATCACGGCAGACAGGCACAAACTGATGATCACGGTCACCAGAATTGGACACATCGATGGCACATTGTTGTGTGGCGGGACATGGATAGCCCTCGCATGGATTCAGGCAAATACACTGCTCACACTCCGGCTGCGATTCAGCTGGGACGCGACGCACACCGTACGGACAACGTAGATCACGGCATTCACTGTCATAGGTTTCGCAACGACTGGGTAAGATTTCGTTGATGATCTCGTTGTCGATTGGCTCTGTGAAAAAGAACATAGTCAGATTTGCTCCATACTGTGATTACCCAGCTAGTCTACCAAGCTGCGTGCAATCTTATATCTACTGAGGGTGCACTATTCAAATAATTATACTAGGCAAAACTACTTCTACGCATAACTTAACAAGCATATTCAAATTTAAAAGTGAGGAAGAGTGCAGAATTGTGTGGGGTGGGTAATAAATTGAGTGCAGAGTGCTCGAGTGCAGTTGGAAAAAAGTGTCAGTTGTGAGGCAGGCTTACTTCCGCATTGATTTGTGCATGCTTCAAAGGAACGGAAGTTGTTCTGGTTGCCAGAGCAACCTGAGTAAATAAAGGATATACAAGTGCCACGCTCATCATCGTAGTACCAACGACGCTCCTGCACCGAAGGGCCATTACACACACCGGGGATGACCGGAAGTCGACAAATATCTACTTACGTCCAGATAAAATCAAAAATAAAATCAAATTTTACCAAAAGCTCTTGATTCTGAGCTTTATATGTTGTTACCTTTAGCCGCACCCGAAGGCAATGGCTCGCGGCCACCGAGACAAACCGATTCACACTCATATAGGTCATTGAAACGATTACCAGTGCCATCGCAGCCACCATAGGTGAAAGGTTGGCAGCTCTGACTATCACGACTGTAGAAATAACGGGTCTGCCACTGTGTGCAAGGTCCCGTCGTCACCGGTTCATTGCAAACATCTGACACAGCACGTTAATAAAACTAACTTATAACAATTATTATAAATAAATCACTTTACTTACCGACACCCTTGAACTCGCCACATTGACGTTCGCATTGATCACGGGTCTCAAACCGATTACCATTACCACCACAGCCACTATAGCTGAAGGCTGTGCACACCATTTTCTCATTGTCGTAGAACCAGGCGGTGGTATGGTTGTCGCATTCTCCGGCCTCAGGATGCTGAGTGCACACCGAAAAGGACTAAAAACAGTAACATTTTATATGGATAAAATCAGCTTAGATGATTATTATATTACTGGTGCTGGAGGTTCTTGTTCCGATTCTGGATGCGGTTGATCACGACGGCAATAATCTAAGCAAGATTGCTCCGACACGAAGTTATTACGATTGCCGCGACAGCCTGTAAACTCGAACTGAAGACAAGTTCCTGTGCGTCCATCAAAGTACCAGCGGCTTGAGGTATCACTACAGCGTCCTGCTATTGGGGGAAGGGAGCACGTGTCCTGTGCCGGATGACAATCATTCTGGCACTCCTCTTCGGTCGCAAAGTTGTTGTCGTTGCCACCACACCCGGTGTAAACAAACTCATCGCAGAGTCCCTCCTGGCTATTGTAGTACCATCGTGTAGTATTTTCATAACAGTTTCCTGGCTCTGGTCCCCTAAAGCATTTGTCCGTTTCAGATTCAGGACGTGGTTCTTCTTCTACACCTCCATTGCAACGCGTAGAACAATCCTGTTCGGTATCGAAGCGATTATCGTTGCCTCCACATCCGCCATAGTAGAACTGTTGACAGCTACCCAATGTTGAATTGTAGTTCCACTTCAACACATATTCCGCACAATCGCCCACAGAAGCTGGCTGCTCGCAAATATTTCCAGACGGCTGCGGTTGTGGTGGCGGTTGCGGGTGGGGCTGAGGTTGTGGCTGTGGCTGCGGCTCTGGTTGCTGTCTAGCACAAACCTGCATGCAGTCGGATTCGGTCTCAAAGCGATTATCATTGCCTCCGCAACCACCATAATAGAATTGGCGACAAACACCGATCGATCTATCAAAGGTCCATTTGAGTGCATATTTGTCACAGTCGCCACGTTCCTCCGGTTGATCACAGACATGAACTGCGCTTTGCGGTGGAGGAGGTGTTGGTGGCTCAGGTTTCTTTTCGCATCGAGCCATGCACGCCTCTTCGCTGGTGAAACGATTCTCGTTACCACCGCAACCTCCGTAGTAGAACTGACGACAAGCGGCATCCTTGGTATCATAGTACCAAGCAAATTCATAATTGGCGCACTCGCCAACCTCGGCGGGAATATCGCAAATATCCTTGGCTAAGAGAATGAAAAAGTGTTAAAAGTGTTTTATCCTTAGAGAAACAGCTTTTCGCACATCAAAAGCTATCGCAACAACATTGAAGGCTTACCAACTTGTCGAGGACAATGATCCTCACATGATTCCAATGTAGGGAAATTGTTTTTATTTCCGCCACAGCCCGTGAAGTAGAAGGGTAAGCAACGTTTTTCAGCTTCAGAGAATTGCCATCTGGCATGTTTCTCGCTGCAATCACCAGTTTGCTTAGGCAATGAGCATTGCTCTGGGTTTGTGTGTTTATGTGGAACAATATATCGTGCAGGAGATCGGGATATAGAGAGCAAGCAACAAACATTCATGCACAAGCAAAAACCAAGCAAAGGAAAGGAGATTATAGAAAAAATATACCGTTAACCAAGGATAAAGTAATAAATTTCATGCTTAATCTTAACCAAGGCAAAACATTGATATTACACAGATCACTCCCAAGCCATAATACACAAATATATTAAATCTCAAACCTTTAAGCACTCCAGGCTGTCGACAGCTATAGCTACAAGCGTGTTCGGTAGGATAGTTGTTTTTGTTGCCCTTGCAGCCACCATAGCTGAAGGGACGGCACACGTCAGTCTGATTATCATAATACCAACGCTCATAGTTGCCGGCACATGGTCCACTTTCCACTGGTTGCTCGCATGCGGCTAAAATACAATTAAATTCACCTAGAATTCAATCTTATTCACTTATTCATGTACTTACGCATGCTCTCACTTATGGCACAAGTAGCCTGGCACTGTTCAAGACTGTCGAACCGATTATTGGTGCCATAACATCCGCCATATTGGAACTCTTCGCAACGATTACGGTCTGTATCGAAGTACCATTTCTTGGAATAACCTTGACAGGGACCGGAGCTCTTAGGCAGCAAGCACACATGCTGTCCAGTGTACTCCTGGCACGTGTCCTTACAGTCCGCCTCAGTCTCAAAACGATTACCATTACCCTCACAGCCGCCATACCAGAATCGAGCACAACCTCCATAAGACGTATCAAAGTAATATTTAACGCTGAAGTTGCCGCAGGTTCCCTGTTCCTTGGGCAAACCACAAGCCTTTTGTGGGGGCTGCTGAACGTTTTCACAGCCGCCAAACTTATCATCCTGAGCTTTTGTAACACCATCTGGACAGCAACCGAATTCGGTCTCCACACAAGTGCAGCCCTCAAAGTTAGGACCTTTAGCTGGTGTCTTACCATCCTCACAACATTTGAATTCTGACTGTGCACAGTGACATCCCTGGTGATGCGGACCCTTAGCAAAGGAAAGACCATCTGGACAGCAACCAAACTGCATTGACTCGCACGGACAGCCTTCAAATTTGGGTCCTCTGGAAGCGGTGATTTTATCGGGACAACAACCATGTTGAGTGGTCTCGCATGGACAGCCCTCCTGTTGTGGTCCACGTGCGGAAGTCTTTTGATCCGCACAGCAGCCATATGGAGAAGCTCCACACTCGCAGCCTTCAAAGTTAGGCCCATATGCAGGCCGAATGTTGTCAGGGCAGCAGCCGAATGCAGTATTGATGCAGCAGCCTTCGCCCTGAGGGCCATGAGCGGGAGTCTCATTGTCCTGACAGCAGCCAAAAGGTTCACTAGTACAAGCAGCACAGCCTTGACCATTGGGGCCGGCAGCAGGGGTACGCCGATCTGGACAACAACCATGCTCGGACTTATCGCATCCCGGCTTACCAGCGTCTGTGGGGCAGCCAGCAAAGTTCTCTCCCTTGGCAGGTGTCTCTCCATCAGGACAGCAGTAAAATTCAGTGAAAGAGCAAGAGGTGACAGCCTTATCTGACTCCGTTGACACAGTAGAATCACCAGAGCCCTCAATGTCTGTAGATATGGTAACAGTCGATTCTTCTGTGGTTGTTGGCGCCAAGGTTGTTGGCTCAGGGCATCCTTCATTATCCTCACCCTCGGCAGCTGTATATTTATCTGGACAACAGCCGAAGAGTGTCTCTGCGCAATCAGATTTCGGACAACCCTTGTTTCTTTTGCCCTCAGCTGGTGAAACTCCGTCTGAACAGCAGCCGAATTCTGTCTCAGCGCACGTTTTCGCAATGGGACATCCCTCATCAAATGGTCCCTTAGCTGCTGACTTGCCATCAGGACAACAACCGAATTCAGACTTCTCACAAATCTTCTTCTTGGGCTTACACTTGCGAAGTTTTTCTTTGGTTGGGGTAAGTGTTGTTTCCCAGGTGTGGGGTGTACTGGATTCATTATCAGAATCAGATGTGCTCCAAATATCGCTGGTACTGCCTGTTTCCGTAGATAGTGTGCTACCTGTTGAGTCAGTAGAGCCAGTAGAACCAGTAGAACTCTCAGATGTAGTTTCTGTAGTGGCTCCACTTTCAGTAGTACCTCCACTCTCCGATGTTGCTGTTGAGTCAGAAGATTCGGAGGAACTTATATCAGTGGACGACACATCGGTAGAGCTGTCGGTAGTTACAGAAGAGCCAGTGGATTGAGATGATTCGGTTGTAACTTCTGTCGTCTTAGAGGCATCTGTAGAGCTGTCGGTGGAACTAGAATTGTCCGTGGAAACTGAACTATCGGTGGAGCTTGAGCTTTCTGTCGAACTGGAACTAGCTTCAATAGTTGAACCAATGCTAGAACTCTCGGAAGTACTTTCTGATGGACCAGTGCTCTGTGATGCAGTTGATTCAGAAACGTCGGTTGTGTCTGTGGAACCAGTAGACGAACTATCGGTGGAACTATCGGTCGTAACATCCGACGAGCTATCGGTCAAACCAACAGATGAGCCATCAGTAGATCCACTACTGGAACTATCAGTTGAACCATCAGTCGAACTATCAGTCGAGCTATCTGTCGAACCTTTAGTGACTCCCTCGGACGAGCTATCGGTTGAACCATCTGTCGATGTGTCGACAGAACTGCTACTTGCATTTGATGTAGACCCATCAGTAGAACCTTGCTCGGTGCTACCTGTTGATCCTGAACTCGAAGATTCTGTTGATTCAGTGGGGCCAGAAGTAAGATCAGACGATTCGGTAGATGAATAACCTGATTCAGAAGATGCTGATGAACTGCCCCCCGTTGTGCTTTCAGTTGAACCAGGTGAACTTGTCGTTTCAGTTGAATCCGTCGAAAGCTCAGGTGTAGTCTCCGTTGATGAGGAGACAGTCGTATCTGTAGATACAGATGATTCTGTCGAAGAAGAGCTATCTGTCGAAGAGGATACAACTGTGGTGTCCTTCGTTGCATCGCTAGTTGATTCTGATGTAGATGAGACACCTTCTGTTGAGCTACTAGATTCAGTGGTCTCCGAAGAAGTAGAAACTTGAGATGAAGTTTCGAGAGGCGTGTCTGTAAATCCACTGGAAGAGCTATCTGTAGAATCTGAAGTATCTGCCGCAGTTGAAGTGTCAGTGGAACTTGAGGCGTCAGTTGAACTTAAGGCATCCGTAGAGCTTGACGCATCCGTCGAGCCAGAGGCGTCTGTTGAACTGGAGGTCCCAGTCGAGCTCGATATATCTGTGGAACCTGAGGTGTCTGTAGTGCTCGAAGCATCTGTTGAGCCTGAGACATCTGTTGAGCCCGAAGCATCTGTCGAACTTGAGCTATCTGTCGTACCTGACACTTCACTTGAGCTTGAGAAATCTGTCGAACTTGAAACATCTGTTGAACTCGATGCATCACTTGAACTTGAGTCCGATGAGCTCGATTCCGTTGTGCCCAAGCTTGAACCGTCTGTTGAACTTGAGCTTGAGGCGTCAGTTGAGCTACTTGAAGTTGATTCAGTTGATACATCAGTCGAGGAGCCTGAAGTAGATCCAGAGACCGATGACGACGAGACCTCTGTTGTCGATTCACTAATGTCTGAAGAACCACTGGATTCTGTAGTCAAGTCTGTAGAGTCAGTGGAAGATTCACCCGACGAAGTTGAGAATTCACTTGTAGATTCACTTCCACTGCCTTCGACAGAAATACCACTATCAGAAGTGCTATCTGAGCCTGATCCTTCGACTGTGCTATCAGTAGATGCCGATTCGTCGTCTGATGTGTAAGTACTGTCGCTCATCATCAAATCGTCGGTTGTTGACATTGCATCTGAGTCCTCATCAGTGACATCAGTTACGTCTGAGTCGACCAAAACAAACTCATCATCATCTTCGCATTCATCTTCATCATCCTCAATCGGTTTATCAGTGCTCGTAAGAGGCAGGACTTGGTCCTTGGTACAAGGTTGAGTATTACACTTTTCAGAAATTGATTCAACCTTTGATTCATCGCAGTTGAGAGACTTGGTACCATTGGATAAACACAGAACCTCACGCACACGTTCACCTCCACCACAAGGTTTGCTACAGTGGCCGAAAGGTCCAGTAAACCATTGACCAGGGCATTCCTTTTCTTCACCTTCACATTCCTGATCAGTCTTTGGTTTTGTTGCTGCGTCACACTTGGAGTCGTCTGCGGTTTTTATCTGTTTACCATCAAAAACGCCACATAATACAATACGTGATTGAGCACCCTTTCCACAAGCCGCTGAGCACTTGCTCCACTCCGATGAAAACCATTGCGACTCACACTTTGACGAAGTGCACGACCTGGTCAGTTCCGGGGCTTTATCTCCACAAAACTTTTGTGGGTATACTTTACCATCTTTTGAGCCGCACACGGCGCTACGAGTTTCGGTATTCTGACCACAGGCGTCACACTAAAAAAATCGGATTAACCTTTTGGCTTGAAATTAAATTTATTTAACATACACCACTCCACTGGGATATGATCCAGTCTACACCCTCGCATGGTGCTAATAGGCAGGTCCTTTCCACTTCAGGCTTGTCTTCCACACAATCTTCCTCAGGCAGAACACGCTTGTGACCATTCTCTTCAATGAAGCAAGTGACTTTACGGGTTTCTTTACCCTCGCCGCACAGCTTGTCGCATGGCTTCCAGGGACCCAGATGATATTTCGGACAATTTTTGACATCACGATTGCACTCCTGAGTTGTTGCTGGCTTATTTCCTACTTGCTTAAGGCAAACTGCATCATCCTCCGCCGTATGAACACTAGAAAATTCAATGTCTTTAATTTTTTATGTTTTTTCTAGCAGATACCACTTACCCATCAGATGAGATGCGCTCGCAACTAACTGTGCGATTTTGGAAACCATCGGATCCACAGCCTTTGGAACACTTACTCCATTCACCCTCAACCCAATGTGGAGCACATGGTTCTGTGCCACATGCCTGACTTTCGACCGGCTTGGTCTGTGCCTCGCATAAAGCCTCATCGACTTCTTGAAGGTTAATGCGATTATTGCAGGTAACTTGGCGGGACTGAATTCCACCACCGCACGATGCACTACAGGGCCCAAACTCACGATGCGTCCACGTATGTGCATCTGGCTGGCTATGGCTCAAAGATTCCGGAATACTGTATTCATAGTCAACGCTTACATTCTTATCCTGCACCAACATTATAATGTAGATACTTTCGGTTATGGGACCGCTGCATGTCAGTTGATCGGGTGCAGCAAATCCCAATGGCTTACGCTCATAGTTCCACCATGCACCCGCATAAAACATGGGGCGTGGAAAATCAATACGCCAATTTCCATTTAAGTAATAGTGACCTGTTTGGTTGCGGCAAGCTAAATAGTTATTCGATGGCGCCGATTCCTGAATGCGAATATTTGTTGCTCCTTGGGGCACGAGCAGCAGATCGTTGTAACCAGCAGATAGATCACTTGATGTATAGGTATTCTTAATTGTCTTGCATGTGCTGCCGTCACCGCCACATTTGCGGCACTTGTCCTCTTTGGCCTCACTGCCCAGCATCATGTCACAGCCAACTGGCATGCACTGCCCATTGACACAAACGTCCAGATCCTTATCATTGCACCGGGTACCATCCACCACCATTTCTCTTTGACGATAGTAGAAGCGCTCACCCTTTGGCATGCAGTTCAGCTCACATGGATTCGCCGCATTTGTGTAGGGCACCCAAGTGTAGAGCACACCATCAAATTTGGTGTAATCGAATCGCGAACACTGCATAGCTCTAAAGTCTGGGTCCTCCTCCGGGCAGTCCTGGGTGTTACAGGAATAGTAACGCCGACTGCCACCACTGCACATATCTTCGCCGTTCGCACTGAGTAAAAAAAAATTGAGGGTAACTATATGAATATAGGAATTTCTCATAAAAGAAAGCTCACTCTCTACGGCGGCATTCGCGCGTCTGATAGGAAACACCACCTCCACAGGTGCGCGAGCAGTCCGAGGGTGAGCTCCAGTCAGTCCACTCATTTGGATCGTCGCCCTCGCCGCCAGGGGTTACGTAGCTAGCGGGTAAATAAAGATTTGCACCATATTGTCTTTTTGCACGTAGTCCAGGCTAAGAAATAAAATATCGGTTAACTAAAACGATCAGTAATGATTAAAATGGTTACACTTACGAATCTACTCTGTGAGCTCTGTATGCCTATCAGTACTATGAATGCTACCAAGGCAGTTGATCTGTAAAGAAACAAAAAAAATCAATTTAAAAAAAATATAGCACAGCCTCATAACCTCTGCTTATAATTTATACGAACATTAATGAAAAGCATGAAACACATCGTCACCTGTTGACTCGTTGCAAATATTTGTTGACTTTGCCTCATGCTTAATTACAAAGGCGGATGTGAGAGAAGAAAAAGAGAGGGGAACTGTGTGGAGAGAGTGTGTGAGAACGAGTAAAGCAGACGGGAGTCAGTTACTTGTCAAAGACTTTCTCAAAAAAAGGCACGCCACGTCCAACAAATGTGAACAAATAAGCGTTTGTAGGGCTTCAGACGGTTGAAAACAACAACAGCGCGAACTTGTTTTTGTCCACTGGGCAGAGCAAACAAACATTGAACTTGTTTTTGCATTAAACGGTGGTGGTGGGGTATTGCTATTGTGAAGTGGGCGAGTTAGTCGAACTTGGTCAAGTCAAATTTTGCAATGCCATTCTTTTGGTAACAATTTTTTTATAGTGCGCCGAAATGCTGGCCATAAATATGCAATGCCACATAAACAAGACATAATTTAGCAGCGCTTCCTGCCGATTTGCCAAAAAGAAAAGAACAAGCAAATAAGTACCCGCCAACAGAGAATATATGATTATGCCTCAGACAAGGCGACGCCGCAGCCGCAGTCGCACTAGCATTCGCAATCGAAAGAACAGGACCGAGGACGAGAACGATGACGAGGATTGAGGAAGGAGGACGAGGACAACTTGCGTGAATATGTCAAAAGCGTTCAACGTTGCAAGCAACGAAGCTTAGTGGCCCCAGGCCCCAAGCCCCGCTCGATATTGGTGGCTTGCCAATTTAATTTTTGACGCTGCGTGCAAGAAGCCTGCGTTTTGTTACACTTGGACGCCTCCGACTGGCTGCGACTGCGACTGCGACCGTGGGGCACAGCAGGCGTGCTGCTTATGACAGGGCCAGGACTTGCTAGCAGTGTGGCACGCCAAGTGTGTGGCCATAATTTTTATGCTTCTGTGTTGGTATTTTAATGCAATTTGAGCGCATTTCCCTTTTGAAACCAATGCCAGGACACCTATTGCTTTGGCAGAGCACCGACAATGACATCGACTATGACTATGGCTACGGCAATGACAACGACGAGGACAACGACAACGCCACGGCACACATTTCACAGTCCATTAAGCTGGGGCTGACTCTAGCCTGAAGGCGGCGTCGCTTAGACGCCTCCAAAGCTATTGCGTCATACAAACAGGATAAACTACCAGTACACTGTGTCAAAATCGGGCCAGGCTAGAACAGCGACGCGCTATTAATTGGGTAGTTCAAGAAAATCTGCTGAGACCGCAGAACCCATGACCAGTGTCTGGTTCCATTTTTATGCGCGGCTGCTTGCTGATAACGCACAAATTTTCCACACGTAAAATATAACCAAATTTTATCCAAGAACAACATTGTACATACTTATAGACATGCGACGTATGCTTTCCAGCATTCTTGTTGCCACATATGGCGGATACCACGTGACACAAACATAAACAGCTGCCACAATCAAGACATACATATGTACAGGCATTGCTCGTACACATCAAATGAAAACCACTGGCATTCAAGCATACGTCGCTTCCCCACAAATGTCAAACAAAAAGAGGAAATGCCAAAAATCCGACGGAAGCTTTAGAACAGAAATAGATCAAATCGGGCCCATGTCCAGGTAAACACATATATATTTGGTAGAATTTGTATTGCCTTTGTTCCGACCCCAATCGGACTTTGGCTGTTAATCTCAAATGGCTCAGTGCCTGCTAATGGCCAAGATCAAGGAAGAGCTTTCCATATTGCAGCTTGCGCCAATTTACAGGCCCAGTTAGAGTAAAATGAAAGGATTCCACTTAAACAATCAAACAATGGACTGTATTGTTTGCTGCTTAGAGCAGAGAAATCACTGAACAACAATGGAAACAATAAGAGGTTGTAAGACAAGTAGAAGTAGTTATTAGTAAGTATTTGCAAGAAATGGTACTCTGTATGCATTGTTTGCGTCTACTGAATTGCAAAATATATAAAAACTTCTCTTTCCATTACTGGTAATTACTAAACGAGGATTAAAAACTTAAATATATATCTGACAAAAAAATAAATTTATTTGCCGATATTGAATTTCAATACTGCCTAAAAAATGTAAAAGGTCTAAAATATCTTAATTTATGTTACATTCAAACTCATTAAGTTTACTAAACAACGAACATCCTTCCTCAAACTATAGTGTTAAAATGATATGTCTAAGAAAACTGAGTTGATTATTTGGTTCACACCCTTTTGCGTTTATTATTTGTTCTCATTCACTTCGATTCCAACATGTGTGTTTGTATTGGGAAATCGGTGGCGCGCAACAAGTGCATTTGTGGCCTGAAATGTTGCAACGGCCATCATAAATAACGCCTCTACTTATTAGCCGCGGCAACATTAAGTGCTGTTCACTTAGTGTACAAGTGCGTGCACTTACCCGCTAAACTCAAGAAGACAAACAAATTGTATAATACTTAAATTCGATGCTAAACAATGGCTAAAGACTAGCTAAAATATGTAGCAAGTCGGAACTAATCTAAACAAAGCGTCAGCAACAAAAATAAATTGAAAGCACCAGCAACACCTGAAGATAGAAAGCAGCGTTTGATTTGTTTATGTTAACATGACTCATCGACGAGGCCGTGGCAAGCAAACGCCCCCACTTAGGAGAGCATAAGAAGTAAGAGTCTTTGCGTAGTTTCCCATGCCACTTGATTAACCCACAGTGGCTGGTAGTTGGGACGGGCACTTGCGGCACTTGCGGCACTCACAGCAGCTGGGGCAGCATTGCGTTCTATTTAAAAGTCAAAGAATGTACTGAAAGAATGTAAATGAAAGAGTGCAGCATGCAACATTTGTGCGTACCATGTAGATGCCACAACAGCCTCCGGGCCTTTGATGAAGATGGAATGCGTATGCCCCGGGTCTCTCCCTTTTACCAGCTGCAATCATTTGACTTTAGCTGCCCCACGTTTAAATGCTGATTGTAAAAAATGTTGGCATTTTTTGTTGTTGTTTTATATGAGCCTCAATGCAATTGTAACTGATTTCATTGCAACAAATTGAAATGCAGATAAAAAACAAGTTAAGGCTGAACTCAGAGTCAAAATGATGCCAATCATTGCATGTAGAAAATATTTAGCAAAGCGTAAATTCAATCAAATATAGGTAAACATTCGTATGGAACTCAATGAAATCAGAGATTAAGTGCCTACATGATCCACTGAACTTCCAAGGTTATATACATAATATAAGCAAGCATCAATATTCCCAAAAGTAACACTAATCTCCATGAAGTAAACATTTTGCCAAGTCTTATGAGACTGCATTTAGGAGCGTGTGGTTTATTTGGCCTTGTCTCAGCAGCCGGCAATTAAGTGCAGCCTCGCAGGCTTGGCCTCATTAGTTGAAAGGATACACGGGCACTGCCATTTCAAATGTCACGCCCACAGTTGGGGGTGTGCAAATACAATTACATAGTCATACAATTATCGCAAGACAAACACAGGCTAATGCAAAACGCCAAATTGTGGCTGAGCGGCGGACAGGTAAATGTTGCATATGCACCACCAGGTGGATGTTGCTGCACATGCTGCAGCAGATGACTGCGGGGATAACACCATGAAGATGCTGGCACAACGCGTCGACATTTGTGGCAACGGAAGTAAATGTTTGCATTGTTGAAATTTTAATTGCATTTGCATAAAGCACTGCACACACGACATTGACAGCTCAGCTAGACTCGGCACGACTCGGCTCGGCTTTAGCTTGGGTCTGGGCTTGGGCTTGTGCTCCTGCTGTCTGCTATTTTGCCCGGCAGCCAAAAACCCTTGCAACGCTTGCGCAAGCAATTATCAATTTCAAAATTAATTAAGCTTAATTGAGTAGTGAAAATAATAAACATTAAAGCGCACACACGCACTGCGCTGGAATTGTTTACCAAATGAGGCACCTAGCGGGCAGGGTTATGCAACAGTTGAGCTTTGTCTGTGTATGTGCGTGCCCACCAACAAAGTTGCAGCTCTTTGAGGCTAAAAGGCACTTCAGACACAGCATCAGCATCATCATCATCAGCAGCAGCAGCAGCAGCAGCAACACAGTTTGCATAAATGCCTAATGAAATATTTGTCACGCGTTTGAGCAAACGAGCAAAGCAAATGAGCAAACAGTATTCACAGTAAAACTCAGATAGACAGAGACGAGAAGATGGAGATAAGGAGAGAGAGAGAGTGAGGACAACATTTGCTGCATTTCACTTTAGTGCAGACTGCAACAATTTACTGACCCATAAATTTCACTAGTTGACAGCGGCAGGCGAGCAAAACGTTTGACTGGCCAATAACAACAAACACTTGTAAACAAATTTTTATGGCAAATGTTGCATCGGCCACTTGAAGTGCAATATGCGAGGCGCAACAACAACAATGCCAACACCAACAACAACAAAGATGCCAGGCAGCTAATTAGAAGCATCATAATGCCCCTCCGCCACACGCAAACATTGGCAATTTTCTATTTGTCCAACTCATTTGGGACGAGATTGCAACAAGCTGCTTCGAGTGGTCCGAAGTTGTACAATTACAAATACGTATACAACCCCGAGTACAACTCAAAGTACTCATTGCTAATAGCACTGCGAAAATAAAGCACAGATTCATAAAGTATTTACTTTCAAAGTTTCGAACTTTGTACCCATCAGATGCCTCAACTGGCCCGATTTATCAGGTCTTAATATAAACAGCTTGCTAGCTGGTAATTTCTCAAAATAGATTCTCCAGGATGCGCAAAGTATGAGCATATTTTAACACATAATTACCTGCAGAATTTTTATAGATATTTTCGTTACTGAGTATATAGCTAATAAATTAGACAATAAACATTAATAATGAAAACAAAAGTAAATTATATCGCAACATTTTTCCAATTGTACCTATGTATATATATAAATACTAAAGTACATTAAAACATAAGCAAACACTTCTTATTTAGTTTGCAGTTGTTTAAAAATTGTGTTTATCTTGAAATTTTGAAAATAAATGAACATTAACTTATCAACATCTCTAATTTGTTACTGTCATAAATCAGCAATCTTTACTCCTAGGAAAATATGTGACTAATAATTACTTAAATATATTTATAAATTGAAATTCACTTGAAGGTCTGATTGAACAGACATGAAAAATGTGTTAAAAATAAACTAAAAACATATAAAAAAAGACAAGCTCTATTTCTTTTGTATAAAATGACATTAGATAAAGTTATAAAGTTATAGAACAAAAATTGATATTGTTATGATCCATCAAGATCTCTAAGTACGCCTATTTCCTTCGATATTTGATACATCGCAACAATCTATTGCCAACGAATTATACTACATCTCTCTGACAGCCAAAATGTAGAGCAGAGACATTGATTTATTACGCAATTGTAAACTGGAATTGTTATGCTTAACACAGAAGGGCAATAATTCTTGCAAATTCTTATTAACTACATAACTGGATGGATGCTTTGCTACCATTACTTTAAAAGTGCACAGTTACGTGTACAAGATGTAAATTTTAAATGACGCAAGAGGCTGCAATGACAAAAATCAATCAACAAAAACTTATCCTGGACTTCTCTCTCAATGTCCCTATTTTACTTCAATTTTGGCTTGATTCGGTTCCTTTTCTGTCATCGGAATTTGAATCACGTCTGCAACAGCCCACTGCAACAACAACTAAAACAACAACAAGTAAACAGTTCGCGTCTTTAGCCGGCAGTCAAAATATTTTTATGGCTTTTTGCTCTGTCTGCTGGCTGCTTCACTTGTTGCTGTTGCTTTTGCTGGTGCTGCTGATGCGACTGTTGCTGGCAGCGCCGCTTTTTAGGCACATTTACTGCTGTTGCTGCTGCTGCATGTGACGCATCTCATTGAGGTCTCTGTGCTGCTTGCTAATGCCCACTGTCACCCGGTTCCTTTGCAGAAATTTTGGATATTTTTTGCATCATGCGAACTTTTTTCAAAGTTTTTTTGTCTGTTTTTGTTTTTGGGTCTGTGGCTTGTTGCGGCCTCTGCAATTTTGCGACGGCATATTTTGTGTGTCTTGTTTTGGGGCATCCTTTTTATCTTCCGCGTTGCAGCGTGCGTCGACCCCATGAAAAAACTCGGTCCGTAGCCGAGGCTATCGATTTAATTATATATGTACATATGTATGTTATGGGTGTGTGTGTGCGTATGTTGCTTATGGGCTAAAAATTAACATATTAGGGACTGGTAGCTGGCATTTGATTTAACGCTAGGCTATGGAATAATTAAACACGACGTCGCCACGTCGTCGGCAGCCTTTGTTAATTAAGCATAATGCATAAAGTCATGGGAACAAGATCTGCAGATCTACGCCGGCTCATGATCATTAACTGCCACTGGGGGGCCAGTCTGCAGTCGGTAGGGACGCAAAGCACACATGTTGCAAATGCAGCGTGCAACATGTCCGCCATGAACTTGGACTGTAATTGAGCCGTGGAAGGACCGTAGATGCAGCAGCAACAACAAGACGGGTCGTTTGTTTAAGCCTGCGAACGACTTGTGTTTAATTTGTTGCTCATTTGCCGCATCATTCGATATTCTCGTTAATTTCATTTTCCACAAAACTGCATGCTCAACTTCCAATTTCAAGCACATTGAGTTTCCGGCGTATTTTTCGCACCAGCAACAAAGTCATTGGGCACCCCTTGTAGCTGCTAGAACCAAATACGATCAGCATTTGCCTAAACAACTTATTAATAGTAATTAAGGTTCAATTATGCAATCGAAGTGTGTTTGTTTGTTTGCCTCGTGCCACGGTGTCCATAAAGTATGCATGATTCTGTTTGAATATTCGATACTGTGAATCGTGTGTGCGTGTATCATTTTCAGCATTTTCACAGCATCCATTTTTGGAATTTATTGTTTATACTTAGTTAAAAGTACACAAACACTTAATAAACAATTTGGCCATGTTGCTGTTCTTTTTCTTTCTGGTTAAAATGTAGTAATTTTCGGTGGAAAAAATATTGTTGAAAACATAACAATTCAGCAGCAGCCGTGAAGATATTTACTTTTGGCTTTCTACACGAAATTCTATATTTCAATCAAAAAGAACGCAGCTAACAATCTGCATTATTCCGCTTGTCGTTTTCCAACACTAATCATCATTACCAACAACTAAGTCAAGTTCAAAGACGTCACGAGTCACAAAATTTCGCTTTGTGCAATAACAATGAGTTACTTATACATATAAGCATTTAATGGCCCCACATATAGACGAGTGTCTTAAAATGTTTAGGTTGTACCATTAAACTACAGAGTGTCTATTGACCCGGCCCAAGTTGATGTCGGTAACAAGTCATAGGTATAGGCCAGCTAAAGAATTGAATGCGAAGTCATTGAAGCTAAAAAATACAGAAATACTTGAATGGAAAGAAAATCCAACTATCAAATACGAATATTATCAAATGTAAGATGAATTTATTTTCAATATGTGAATTGATTATCAGTATGTTAGCTCATAATGTGGAAAATCAATTTGCTTCACATTCTACAGAATTTCTAGTACTTGACACTGTATTAAAATCTATTTTTATGAATTTTAAAAGTTTTTCCAATTAGGTCAATTTACCTTCACTTTGCATTTCATTCAAGTGAAAAATTAATTGTATTTTATAGATTTTCGTCGAGTAAACATGTATGTGGTTAGATTCAAAGAATATTTTGCTTGTCAGCTCCCGCAAAGTTTGATTCAATCTTTAGCTGAACACGTGTCGTTATCGCATCTGCCAAAGTCAACGCTAAAGAGGTCATGTGTTGGCCACATTCTGACGCAATTTCGCAGAAAAACAAAAGAGCCACAAAAACCAAAAGTGAATTGAAAAAAAGACTGCCTCGCCGTTGACAACGTGCAACATTTTCCTTTATTCAAGTGGCTCGCTCAGTGTTTTTCGCGAAAAACTTTAAAATACTTGACGAATGGATGCGCTAACTACCAGCTGGCCAGAGACCTCGTCGTACTAGCGTGTGGCACGGGGGAACAAGTTCTGGGCATTTATGTGTGCTGGCCACCACGTCGACAACTTTATGACTTTAGCCAAAAATAAAACGCAGACAGTGCTGCAGATCACACGCAAAAGATAGATGTCCAGCGTCGTGTGCGTGAGAGCAACTGCTTCAGCTCCATCAAGATCTATCAGAATGGCTGGGCAGAGCCTCAAAGTCGTAGTCAACTTTGAACCGACTTTGCACGCGGTATCTGGTTGCCTGTTTCACTTTAATTCAAACTTTTTCTTCTTCGTCTTCTCTTTCAATTTTTTTTATTTGGCGAGGCCTTTTTGGGAGCACTTCAAAGCGCACGCACTTCACCTACACACACTAGCCACACATAAATATTTACATTTCAATATGAAATTTTGATTTGATTTCTGTGTTCGCACACAAATTTGAAAAACTAACAAAGCCAAAGGTAAAAACAAAACTGCTACGCGCACAGGTATTGGGCAGAGCATTTGTATTCAGATAGCATATTGGGCCAAAAAAGCTTTTGGGAAAACTATCTCTGCCGGAAATATCGATAGTGCTTCAGTAAAGCAGAATAACTTTGATCATTTTATACAGAATTTTGAAAATTTTCTTTGCATAAAGAAATCCTTGACTTCATGACTTCATATAACATGGTCTATAATTAATCATTGCAAAAAACACATTTCTCGTTTTCATTTTACACATCAGACTATAAAGAAATTCCCGAAAATAATTTGTCAAATAGCAGATTCAATCTCTTTGCATCTAAGAGAAAAATTTACTCATTTACGCACAACTTTTAAGCTAATAGTAGAACACTAATTAAGCGGAGCTCGATGTGACAGCGAACGGGACCAAGGATGCTTTTCAAATTGTTGGTAAAATGTTGCAATTTTCATTAACAAACTTCAATTAAACGGGCAATGTAATTTGGCATGCAAACAAAATGTTGGCCAGGATAATGGCAGTCGCGTAGTGTCAATAACGTAACGCCTGTTGCACAGGAAGCACGTTCCCTTCGCAAACGCCCACTGGCACACACACACACACATAGACAAACGCACACATGTGCAGGACAATCAGTGGCAGCAAGTCAGGCTGGATGCCTGGCAGCCAGTCAGGAGCCAAGTCAAGTATTTGCACATGTAGTTCAAATGAAATTAAAATTCGCATTGACACTGTAATTTGTGGGCGAACACAAAAGGAATCAATTTCATGCCAAACACGTTTCAACTGCTGCTTCTGCTTCTGCTGATGCTGCGGCTGGCAATTGTATCTGGGAGATACATATTTGTCAGATGCTTACCGCAACCGCCTCGATAAATCCATTTCGCTGCTGATGCTATCTATATATTAATCGACAGCGTTTGGCGCTGCTCTTCACGAATTTCTTGCACAAATATTTAGAAGTTTGCTTTTGATGGCCAAGCACTTGAAATGTTTATCACTTGAGTTTTAATTATTTTTTTGCACACTTGTCACTCGAACATTTGCTTGCACTTTGCGCTTGCGCGTTGCCAAAAGGAATTGTGAGGGCTGTCAAACAGGCGCCGTCGTCCTTGCTAACACGTCCTTCCAACACGACCACGATCACCAGCACACCCGCAGGTCTAGAGCGTACGCCACAAACTGATCGAGACGAGATCGCTCTAATTCTGTTGCAGCACCACAAGGCGTCGTCTCGTTCTGCGGCTGCGTCGCCGTCGCCGCTAGCGTCAGCGTCGCCGTCGTTGTGGCCGTCGACGTCAAAGCAACTGTAGCGATAGCGCCATGATCAACGGGTTGTGCTTCCGTTGCTTTTGGTGTTCTTTCTAATCAGCCCGAAAATGGATAAAGGGCTTAGGTTAGCTACTGAGCAGCGATGCTATTTATTTCTTTTTATAAAATATCTACTAAGCACTGAATGAGAGCTTTTGACTGTCCATTTGATGGAGCTTAAATGCGAGTGATCCTTTATTGAACCGGCTGCTTACAGCCCCCACAAGCGACTGGGTTCGATTCGATATTTTTTTGCCAGCAGTCGGACGAGCAGTTCGCTCTCCAGTCCCAACTGGTTCTCTCTTTTTCTTAACAACTTTGCAACTTTGATCTTCATGCGTTGCACGTGTGGATGCATATATATGTGTCTACATGCCTGCGTCTGTGTGTATTGAAGTTGAAAGTACCCAGCAAACCCGTGATTTACTGCTTCGTTGTTGTCTCACATGTTGAAATGAAATTGAAGTCGGAGTTAAGACCATTTGACGCCCCTAATGAGCGAGGCTGATGAACACATGTCGTCGGCATTGAGGAAGCAAGGGTCCTTTGCAGGGTGCCGATCATTGTCATAATATGCATCCATAGACATACACATACATACAGTATACACAGTAGTAATTTCGTTTTAATTGCAACTAACAGCACATGTACATGTTTATGCTCTGATTTGTCCTTTTTTAACAATTCAGTCAAATTGATGTATATATAGACATGGAGGGTAACTGATCTGTCTGTCAAATTCATTCAGCGCATTCATCAACGACATTGCAGAGAGATATCGAATGTCCATAGTGTCTATTACTAGGTTGTTTTAATTGTACGAGCTCATTCATAAATTACTCATTCTGGAACGTTTTTGGTCGCTCTGTCTGCTGATTATTTCCGCATTCCACTCTTTGCCGACTTCCGTATACAATCACAGTCACCAAAAATAGTTTAACCCAAGTCCCGGTTTCCGGTGTTTTATTTTGGAGCTGTGTGATATGATTCGCTTATCATAGGTCGCTTTTAAGCCACAGCTTGCTGCACACTGGCCTAAGAATCAAATTAACTATGAAATGTATTTTTCTAGAATTGCTTTTCAAATAAATAGTTTTTATCACAGCTTACGAATAAATACCAAAACGTACGCCAGGTAAGCAGTCAGAGTCAGATTTGACGGCCCTTCCTACTATCCTGAACTGCCAACTGCTAGGGAGAATTTTAAATATATCAAGTGGCCCACTTAAAATTGAACTAATTATAAGTTTTACAAGACTGTTACGTCATTGCTCCAGCTCCCCCAAGCACGCTATAGTAAGTGCCCAAATCCCGGGATTCTACATTTCGAGCTGAGTTTTCCAATTAAGAGGTAATTAGAAATATTTAAAAACCAAAATCGAAATGAAATCCCAAATCTGGGCCTTGATTTCGTGAAAGTAATATAGTAAAATTGAGATTTCAGTTTCTGCGTATGCCCAGCACACAGTGCAGTCCCTAGATATTTCATTTTATCAGCATGCCACTGAGGGAAAGTTTCTTTCCATTAGCTAATAAGTAACTGTGCCGCAGCGCAAAAAAACATTCCGCAAGTTTCAAGGGAAGAATTAAAGCGCGATTAAATGAAATTAAGCATGTGTATAATATTTAATGTGCGATGTGTATTAAATAAAAAGAGCTCATTCATAAATAAATGTGGAACTAAGCGCTAATTGGCCACCCCCAACGGAAATCGTTTATCAGAGCAGAATGAGAAGAATACGCTTAGGTCTGAGGCAGTTTCTATGCTGTTTCTTTCTGCCTTGGTGTGGGTTAACTCCAATTAGCATTGCTTTGACCCATTTAGACAGCATCCGTCATGGCATGCACATGGACAGCCAGGGGCGAACGCAGCTGCAGCAGTTGCTTCTGTCGCAGCCTCAGCCTCAGTCGCTGCTGCCGTTGCCGCTGTCAGACGCTTATCGGCGGCAGTTCCGCTGCGGCAGCGGCGTTATCCTAAGCGCAAGGCATGTGGGTGAAGGGTGGCAGTAGCAGCGCACGAACAGCAGAAAGATCAACAGGAAGTCGTATAGTGGATTTGTTTTATATACACAATATATAATACAAAACTATAGATATATGTATGAAATGGCGATAACAATAGCAGCGGCAACAATATAAATCAGTTATTCAACGGCAATTAACTAAAAGCCAGGATCCCAATCCGTTTTCTGCGCCTCCATGTGCGTGGTAAAGCATTGTATTATGTCCCCCGGCTGCGGCAGTACCTTGGCATCCTTAAAGCGCAAACCACACTCTACGTCTTTTTTGATGGAATCCACCTCGTTTTTCAAATGACGCATCGACTCCAAGACACCGTCGTAAATGACCTCGCCATCTCTTATCAAGCGGAACCTTTGGGCCTTCTTAAGAACTCCCTTGGTACAGCGGCAACCAGCCACCGGGATCTCTTTGCGCCCCTCATTGATAAAGAAGTGTTGCAGCACATTAGCTTCACCGAGCTGCTCCTCCACCTCCACAGCTGGCAATTGACTGCTCAACTGCTCCTTGAGATCATCAATCAGACGATATATGACATTATAGCTCTTAACATTCACATCCTTGACCTGCTTGGCCTGTGGCGTTTCCACGGCAAAGGCATAAATTATAGCATTAAATGCTTTGGCCAGCTCAACATCACCTTCGGTAACATTGCCCACACCGTAATGCACGATGTCGAGGCGGCAGCGATCGTTGCTATTGTAGGTATCCAGCACATCCAGTATGGCTTCTACAGAACCATGCACATCACCCTTGACGATAACGCTCACGCGTGGAACGCCTTCATTTTTATCGACCTGCTTCACCCGTTGGCCGCCTCGCGTTCTAAAACGACCGGCCAGGCGACGAGCCTCACGCTCGGCACGATACTTTGCATGATGTTCCTCCTCCTTTTTCCGAATTTCATCGCTGCTTGATTCCACTTTCGCCACTTGGGCCTGGTGTTCACGATATTTGAGAGCTGCATGCGCTTTTTTCTGTAGAATTAAGTAGACATATACACAGGCACATCGGGATTTCTAAAGATTTATCTCACCTCTGTTTCTACCTCAAGAATCAGGTCACCAGCCAGTGGCAACTCGCGCCAACCTAGTATTTCCACAGGCGTGCCAGGCGCGGCCTCTGCTACCGGCGTCCCATTGTGATCGAAGAGACCACGTACTTTAGCATGCGCTAACCCACTCAGTAACACTGAGCCTTTGCGCAATGTACCGCGAGTGACAATGGCCGTAGATAACTTGCCACGGCGTGGATCAGTCTTGGACTCAACTACAATGCCCTCCACAAGACCTGTAGGATCTGCTTTTAGACCCATTAGTGTAGCCTGCGTGCTAACTGCTTCCGCCAGAAGCTCCAAATTTGTTCCTTTTAGTGCCGATATGGGTACAACTTGAACATCTCCACCGTGCTCTTCTAGTGCCAAGCCCATTTGCGCCAATTCGCGTTTGCTCTTTTCCTGAAACATAAAATTCGTTAGTTGGCATATTTAAATCGATTTTATAGCAAAAGTGCATTACTATATTCGCTTCGGGCTTGTCAATCTTATTCAACGCTACGATTATGGGCACCTGTGCCTCTTTAGCCAGCTGAATGACCTCACGGGTTTGTGCCATCACACCATCCTCGGCGGCTACAACAAGCACAATAATATCTGTGGCAACGGCCCCGCGAGCTCGCATAGCACTGAATGCGGCATGTCCAGGGGTATCCAAGAACGTGACCTTTTCGCCGTTCTCCAGTGTAACAGTGAAGGCGCCAATATGCTGTGTTATACCACCTGCTTCGCCAGCAGCGACATCTGCCCCTCGCAGAGAATCCAAAAGCGTTGTTTTGCCATGATCCACATGACCCATCACAGTGACCACTGGTGAACGGTGTTTTAGCAGCTCTGGCGGAGCGGGTGGCCGAGGTAAGACATCACGGTCCTTGTGCTCGTCCTCTGTGCCTGCTTCAGGTGCGGCCACAACACGTGTTTTAGCGCCCAACTTCTTAGCAATGTTCTGAATGATCTTCAAATCCTCCAGTTTGGCGCCCGCCTCGATGTTGTCCGCGCCAGGCACATACAACATGGCCTCCTGGACATCGTCTGCATTTAAATTAAATCACATTAGAGCAGGTTAGATTTCCATTAAATTACCAACACACCCAAAGGCCTTTCCAATGTTTTTGCCAGCTCTGCTACGGTCATGTATCGCCAAATGTCGGTGGTGCCGTGTGCGGTCGCTGCATTGGAAGATTGCAACTTCTTGGGCGAATACTCTATAATTCGAGGGGATTTCTATACAATTAGTCAGCATGTTCTTTTCATACAGGTTCAAACACAGCATAATTACAAAATTGAAGACACTAGAAATAGCATCGACCAAAAATTGACAATTTTAAATTTATCATTGAACACTTCTGTTATTTTACACGTTGTGACGTCATTCGTTCAATGATACAATTTCTCTCTGCGTCACCTCTTTTTTACCGCGATTGTCGTACCTTCTCTTCAGCTGTCTTGCGGCGCTTGAGTCTTGTAACGCCGGTATGAAGTTGGCGTTGCCGCATTGTGCTGCCAAGTCGAAAGATATGGCTTAATCTAAGCATTTTACGCCGTTTTATTGATTTGTATTTTCACTTTATATCTTATACTCATTGGTTTCTTTTAAAATATAGCTATTGTGTAATTTAAAACACTATTTTTCCAAAGCAAGGTGCTCTCTGCCAATGTGACCGTAAGCAATAAAAACTAGAAAACTAAAATTAATACTTTCAGCCCTAGCTTTTTAGATCAACTGGGCTGGTCAGCTGATGATGTTTATAATTATTTTCAATTTCGCATAGTAAGACAGAAAACTTAATGTTGATTTTAAAAATAAATCATTTTAATACAATTAGGAAAACTAAATGTGTATTGCTTTACTGCGTCTCTGATATGTTATCGATAGTAACCGATTGTTGGCTACCTTAACCGTGACACATGCCCTAAACGGTTATTGTTGATAGCTACGACTGAGACCAGGGATATTTTTAGTTCGTACACCAGCCAAAAAGCTTGGTTGTGTTTTTAGCTTAGCAAGAGCACATCAACGCTTTTTAGCTAAGTTTCAAACCAACTAAGACAGTACTAAAAGAAATTAATTTGAAATAATAAAATACAAATTATTGACGAAGGCATTCAAAGAATTAATATTAGTTCTGCTTTAATCATATATATGTTGTATTTGAATAAAATATCATTGAATAACGTTTTCATACATTTGAATTTTATAATATGTTTAATTACCTCCTTTTGCCAGCTGCGTGCGCGTCAATCAGTGGCAACTGAGGCCGCGCGCTTTGGTTTCGGTTAAGCATGGAGCACTGCGGCACATGGTCGAGCAGTTAGTCCTGCTGGCTGACACTGAATGCCACTTAATTCGGTTTTGAAGCGAGTTGCATGTCAAAATGATTGCTCTTCTACAAACAGCGCTTCTGTGTTTGAATTATGATGGAGCGCGCAAATATTCCAGATGCAAATATTTGCGCAAAGCTACACACACTCACACTTACACACACAAGCACACGCATGCCAACTTGAAGTGCAACAGCGCTGCCGACCAGGCGCAGGAGCCTCAATCCCGCCCTGCCAACACCCCACACTTGACGTCCGACTAATGGCAGTGAGCTGCAGCTGTAGCTGTAGCCGTAGCTGTGGCTGTGGCTGTTGCCATAGCCAAGCACTTTTGAAAATGTGTAACCGGCACTGACTGACTTTCTGCTCGTGTCTGGCTGAGGACGATCCGGGCTAGGAGCAGAAGCAGGACCAGGGCCTGGTTTGACTGCAACTCGTTTGGCCGGAGCCAACATTTGCCGCCTCTGCTACTGCTACTGTTGCTGCAGACATCCGTTGCCGGAAATATGCTTACAAACGCTGCACGTTTGGCTTGACAGGGTATATAGGGTATACAGGGTGCTCTGGCAGGATGAGCCACTCCTCTGCCCATCTACCCATCTGCCCATCTACCCATCTGCCCATTTGCCCGACTGTGCGTTTGTTTGCTCAGCAGCGCCAGAAGACGAAAGCGACGCCAACGACAGCAGCGACAGCAACTGCGGCAGCGACGTCAACGCAGGGAACTCAAACAAAATATAACAGTTGGAAGAAGCTGCTGCTGCTGCAACGGCAGCAACGCGCACAGAAAAAGTTTACAATTTATCTAGTAAAATGTAATTAGGATCCTGGTGCAGGCACACTCAAACCCACTCCACCCCCACCTTTCCCCCAAACCTCCTGGCAAGAGACAGAAGGAGAGTCAGCGCAAGAGGAAGAGGCAGCCAGAGAGATGGGGGCCTTTCTTTGCTTAAAGTTGCAGCTGGTTTGCTTTAAGTTACTCGATTGAGAGGCACAATCAAATTACCAGACTATAATACGCCTTACGTAGCTTTATACATCTATATATAACTCTTATACTAATATAATGTTTATTAGCATGTAACCATAATCTGTCTTCCTTGATATATCTGTCTGACAACTTCAGATAGTTATTTAGACAACTTCAGATAGGCATTTAGGCATTTGGGAAAATTAGAGCTTGTACTTATTTTCGAGGATTTTTGAGCTACTTTTGGTACATATTAAACTGCAAAAGATAATACAATAATGCTATAAGATAATGCATTACTATTATTCGGATAATTCATATTCACTAAATAGCTGGCAAAGCAGCCAAACTGGCCAGAGACTTGCCAATTGGTTACCTGTCAGATAAACTGAAATCGGCTAAAAAAGGTGTTCCTCATCCAGTAGGCTTGACTGGTCTTGACATTATAATAATTTTTATTAAATAACTTTCAGCTTAAAGCTTTTCAGTGAGTTACTCAGTTTATTTTACAATTTCAATGTCAATTATAACATTTCGTTAATATATTTTGCATTTATTATTGAATTGTTTGACGATGGGTTAGCTTATTTTAAGCTGCAACAAATTGATTTTCGTTTATTGAGCGTTAGCTAAAATGGCGTTGGCGAGGGCCGTTCGAAATGTTCGCATACACGCTTGCTGGCGACGAATGCAAACTACTCGAGCAGCCAGCGCAGAAGACATGCGCAAGAGCGACTTCTGATGCGCCTGAGATACACACTTATGTAGGTAGGTACACACACATACACACACACTCAAAGAGAGATAGATGCGGGCACAGACAACACAGACGCTCGCTCACGCTCTCGCTCACAGCCACAGCCACAGCCACAGGCCTAGGCAGAGGCATACACACACACACACACACACACACACACACACACGTATACACATATACACAGGCAGACAGATTCACGCACACATATACACGGAGGCAGATGAACGCACATTGTGTAGCCGACGAGGCGGAGCTAAGTAAACAAACATGGCCGAAAATGTTTGTGGCTCATAATCTGATACAAATGCAAATGCATACACACACATACACACACACACACGCACACACACGCACACACACTCACACGCATTGCTGAAACCTCTGGCACTTTCTCAGTTGGCTGCTTTGCTAATTTTTGAACATCTGCAGTGAGACTTGAAGTGTGTAGCCCATTCGCAAGGTGCTAATCAGAGGAGCTGGCCACGTAATCAATTTGGCCAATTTATCTACCTGGTTATTTCTCTGGCTATGCATGCGATTTGTGATTAGCAATACGCTCATGACTTTCATAACTTTCATGACTGCTGACATGGCATATTGCTCTTCAATTTGCTAGAATTTATAGACGACGGAGATGTGTATGCGAATGACATCTGTGTGGTCCTGCGTGAATCAAATATTAAATATTTGTCATGGACTGCGCCAAAATGAAATAAATATTTCGATATATTGCTACCAGACAAAAAATCGGTTTGCACTTTGCTAAAAGGTTATGAAATGTTTTCATTTTTCGTATTATTAAACTGACAAATGTTATCAAAGGAAAGTGGAATGCGCTTGATATTAAAATCTTTGATATACAATTTTTTATTTAAAAACACATTTATTAAAATCGAATTCAGCCAAGCGAGAAAATTAAAAACTTAATTCACTTAAAGCCAGAAAGTCATTTCATGTGCAACTTTAAATGTAAATGCTGAAGACTAATGCTATCGATGGGAAGGATTTTTGTTGTTTAAAGCCTGACAAGCTAGAGCCAAGGTATTGCGAGTTTCCCTCTTTAATGCTACATCTCATTTAGTCCTATAAGCAAAAGGTTGAAAATGAGTACAAAATTAAGTATCGTATCACTTCAACTCGAACGAGAAACTGTGCATTTTGTGGAGCACTTTCTAATTGGAAAACATTTCCAGTTAATTGGTACCTAAATTACGACTTCAATGCTGACCCTGTCACTTGTAAGTACCCGTACGAGTACTCAGAGCGAAAAGTTTTGAATGTCGCTGCACTTCAAAGCTGTTCTCCAGCTGCCACTTGACGGAAAAATTGTCTCCCAGACTAGGCACTTGAGCGCACCTACCACAGCGCTTGGCCCGCTATAAAGGTTTTTTTTGGCATTGGACAGGTAATGGGAGTCATCAATGTGGTCGGGCCGGGCTTCGAACATAAGCAAAATATTGACAGAGCGGCAAGTCTAAGGCCAAAGGCACCGACCGAACTTGGCCCATAGACAGACATTATACATATTCATATGCGACGATATGACGTTGCCGATTCGTTGATCAGCATCGACAGGTAAAGGTAAATCATCCATACCATCTATGCCGATTCGATTCGACCGGTGCCGACTGGTCCGACCGATACTTCGTTTTGCTGTTTACACACATACATCCGTTCAATATCGTGTTGGCCGTCTTCGAATGTCGCATTCAAATGTTGTTTTTAGCCATCGAAGTGGTAAATTTCACCTGTGTACGCGGAGAGACGGCGGCGGCTGCTCCGGCCTCTGCATAGACACAGCCACTTACAACAAATGCATTTGGGCGGCGGTCCCGCTCTTTGATAGTGGACCACACACACAGGCACGTCCACCACATCTATATCCAAACACCGCACCACTGACACTTGAGTTGATTGATTCGGAGATGCAGCGTCCGCGAGATGCAAAAAAAGGAAAAAACATCAACGCTGGTGGTCGGTCTTCATCTTCTCCATCTCTCCAGCACTGGCCGTTAATTTGCTGCAGGAAGTTTCCATTTAGCACTTGGGCAAACAGTTTTTGCAGTTGTCACCAACAGCGGTCCAACATCTCTAGTGGGCACTACATCAACCGCGTCCGTGCCTTCAACTGAGTCTGAGGCTGCCATAAATACAAAATATTAAAAAAAATATCACTGCGGTCAGGGGGTGGCTTTATTGTTGCGGTTCTAGCTGCCTCGAGTGCCATTCAGCTAAATTGTTTGTATGTCAATCAAAGATGAAAACGCGCAACGGAAAATGCGAAAATTAAACAGTGGGTGGAAGGGGCCACTACCAGGGGGTGGGGTGCTCTCAGCTCTGGCCATGCCACTTTGCGCTCATTGAGGTGACGCGTGTGGTTCACAAAACGGGCAGCAACCATAAAAATAACAATAACAATAGCAACAACGACAACAACACCAACAGCAGCCACTACAACAAATTGCTTTGCTACATGAAAATGTCAAAGTGCGCGACTTGAATTGCACTAAGGAGGGCGGTTAATAAACAGTCAGCTCAATGCCCACATTGAAAGCAACAACAACAACAACAGCACCACTTAATCAAGCAGAGACTCCTCGAACAGCACTCGGGCAATGGCT